ATGTCCATATGTGTGCTATGTCCATCTGTAAGTTTCACCCCCATTTCATCCATGATGCAAGTTACCAATCTTTTTTGAGTATCTGGTTTTAGTATGGGCAAATTTACTTTAAATGCGAGTATCTTACATCATTCATGCAAGATGCGACATAATTATGTTGGTCTCAACATGCGACTTATTTATGCCAACAAGCTGAAGCTATATAAATATATCGATATGCAATTTATTAATGTCAACATGCTATAAAATTATATCGACTTGGATCCTATTTAGGTCAACATGCGAATTAATTATTTCAATATGCTAGATATTTATAGCAACATGCGAGATAATTATGTTTAATGCGACTTATTTATGTCAACATGCGAGAAATTATGTTGACAGACGACTGATTATAACATAAAAAAGTCGCAAGTTGACACCAATAAGTCGCATATTCTGCATGTCGCATGTCAACATAATTTAATTATCTCGCATGTTGACGTAAATAAGTCCGTGTCAGCATAATAATATTGCATTTTAACATAATTATCTCACATGTCAACATAATTATCTTGCATTTTGATATAAATTTTTATCAGTCGCATGTCTACATAATTAATTGCATGAATGATGTAAGATACAAGCATTACCGGTAGTTGGTAAATTAAATCAGATTCTCTAAAAAGATTGATAACTTGCATGTCAACATAATTATCCTGAATGTAGACATAATCATCTTGCATGTTGACATACTTTTCTCCCTTGTCGACATAATTTATCTTGCATATTAGGGGCAAAAATATGCCATCATTCTTTTGGATATATATTAAGCAATAGTGTTCTAAAGATGAGAACCTGTGATATGGAACATGACAAAATCGTGCAAATCAATACTTGTCAAATTGAACAGCCTCCAGGAAAGCGTCTGGATGTGTGAGAGGTTAAACGCCGACTAATGATGACAATATGATGTGATAATAAGGCCTAGATTATAAGACATATTTTATTTCTACCTGTCTTCTGCCAATCCAAAGTATAAAGTTACAATATGAAATCACGTGGAAAGTGTATGAAGATAGATTTCATCTACGTTCACCTAATTCTCTCTACAAAAGGCTCAATTGAGCCAGAATTGCTCATATATTTTGTTTAGTCAACATTTTTGCTTCTTACACTTTTCGTTTTTCTCATAAATATATTAGAGCCATTCTCTGTAATGACTTGAAATTTCATATAGGAGCTGTGGCACGCATAGTCTAATATTTTCTCCAAACTCTCTATGATGAAAGTCTTGATACTATAAACTCAAATCAGGCAAAAAATTGGTTGAGAGATATCATGGTTACCATGGCAACATGCCATAAAGTTTAAAAAATGGCATTTTGTAACATGTTCAGAGTCCCATCGTTAACGTTTGCATTAATGCAAACAAGTGGCAATGACTGTTTCCAAATGTCTTAAATGCATGATTAACATAATTGGGAAATCATGCAACTTATTACATATGTCTTTATGGAAACAAAGTATTCATAAGTAATAATTTTATTCATTCATTTTTATAAAGTCATACACTCAAAAATAAAAACAACTATAGGTTGAAATGCCAAGAACGAATTGTGATATTTCTTATTTGTTGGCAATGGTTGCCATGGTTTTGATACCACCAAGGGATTTCAAAACTCTCTGTGTGTTTCAATCTGATCCTATCTTTTTAAAAAGCACATTTCTATATACATGTAACTGGTGATTAATTTTTAAAGATGTTGGTGTGATCCTAATTTTCACATTTCAAAAAATTCAAATTATTTTTTTTAAATATAGCGTTGCTATGGAAATTAAGAGAAAAAATATGTATAAAAAGGGTAAAAACAAAATATAGTGTTTCCTTGGATTCGTACCCTTGAATGTAGATTCACAAATCTTTTATGACTGATATTTATGACTGAACGACTAACCTGACTTTCAATTTTGACTACCAACTTATCTCTAACTGTATGCAAGAAGCTGGCACATAGGGTTTAATATTGCTATAAAGTTAACAAAATTGAACATTTTCCCTTCTTGGTACCCATAGCAACAGTGTTTTTTCTTCATCAAACTTTATCAATATTTGATATTCAGCTTTAGTTCTACCAGTTAAGTACTGTTCAAAGTGAGACAAATAATGTTTCTGAATAAAAGGTAACTAAATTCCTAAAGCAGCAACAAAAAAAAATCATTTTAAGCCATAGGTACGATGTTTCCATGGTTACACTGCAAAGTAGCAATATATCCCAAATTTTCTTATGTTGTCTGTGTTAAAAGTTCCTTACGATGTATGTTTGCCAGTCTTGAATTTCCATGTTTTCCCTCAAAACAGTAGTTTTAACCCAATCTTAGCAACACATTGTGTATGGTTACACTGTGTTACCATGGCAACCATGAAAGTTATTTTTAGAATAATATTGCTTATACCTAATAACTTAAGGTCAAATATTTTTATTTTTTTAGGATGTTGATTGAGTTTGATCATGTAACACCTATCATAAGTTAAAATTGAGCGTTTTTCAGCATTTAAAATGTATTCCAAATGTACCTATGGTTACCACTTACTTGGAGATATATTCTGAAAGTTTCTTTATAGTATAAGTGGCAACAAGGTGTCATGTTTTCGTGAGACTGGTTTGTTTGTTTTCCTTAGTCATTATTAAGGCTTAGTAAAGATTCAAAGTAGCTGAAAATCTCATTTTTTCAAACTTTTCCGGCTGTTACCATGGTAACCAAGACACACAGCAATCAAATTTTATTTGATATATGTTTCTGGTATCAAGTTGTAATAATGGGCAGTCTCATCAAAATCGGTTAACATGCGTGGCAAAGAAATTAAGTGGTTACAGAAAATAGGTCTTAATTCTGGGAAAAAGTATCTTTTTAGGCTATAACTCAACCATATATGAAATTTGGATATAGACATTATTAAACTTAATGTTGTTATCTTATACCAGAAAATGGTATATTAACTGCAAAATTCATCAAATTTGGACATTTCAGGGGTCACAACTCAGATTTTTATGAAACTTATTCAGTAGCTAGATCTTGCCATCTGATTATTTTCACACCTGTCTGTTTTCCCCTAGTTATTAGCAAAATAACTGCACAGCCCCCGATATTCTACACGTAATTCATAGGAACAATGGTATTGTCTTTCATTGAATCAAAATAAAAAGTGAGTTGTTAGTAGAGGACGTTTCACACCAACAGTATAAAGTCTCAGAAAAATATACCCAGTGGTCTCAGAGAGGAAAACTTTACGATGAAGCTGAAATAACCATTTCAGGACTCCTAACTCCAACATGGGTGTACACTTCTTAGGTAACTGAGCTTGTCATCTTGATTATTTTTCTTCATGCCCATCTGGTTTTATTTTTTGAGTTTAGCAAAAAAAAAAAAAAAAAAAGAAGAAGTTCATCCCCCTGTGTTCTATTTATAGCAACATTCCCTTACAAAAATTTACTATAGTTAACTATAGTTTACTATAGTTAATGATAGTAAATACTTTGATTTACTATGAAACTTTACTGCAGAATATTTTTTGAGATTTTAATGTTTATTGTCTCAAAAATTCAATACCGATGATGTAAAACTTGTAGTTAATATGTAAATATTCAAGTAATATTTCATTTCATTTTAATATAACAAATATGTATGTATGAACTATAAAACATAACAATCTGAAATCCATAGTAAAATACTTCTGAGTCACTATGTTGAAAACTTTGATTTACTATAGAAAGAACTGTTACTAAAGTTTACTATAGTTAACTATGGTAATCGATAGTTAACTATAGTAAACAGTAGTTAACTATAGTAAACGATAGTCAACTACAGTTAACGATAGTTAACTATAGTATACAATAGCTAACTATAGTATATTTTTGACCGGCCTTGTTTCCATCAGAACATAATGAAAAGTGAGCCGTTTGAGAGGAATATTCCATATTAATACCAACGAAGTAAAAAAAAGAAAGAAGTACCCTATTTTCAGAGTAAATTATTGAAAAAGTTTACGCCGAAACTGAAATTTAAAAAAAAAAACAAAACTTTTCAGGTCCTTACCTCATAAAGGTGCACTTTAAAATAATCTTGCTAGGTACCTAGATCTTGTTATCCTGATTATGTTACCCCTACCAGACATTGCCATAAAAAAAAGTGCATAACACGCTACGTTGTACTCATTAGTAGCCATGGCTTTGTTTTCAATGAATCAAAACGAAAAAGAGAACATAATTCATCAATACAAAATCTCAGGAAAAAAATAGCTGCAGAACTGTAGCGTTATGGTTTTTACATTTTAGTCTTATACCATAGCATGGTCAAAGTCTAAAACATAAAACCATAAAGATAAAGATCTGCAGCTAAGAAAAATCTGCCCAGGAGTTTCATCATCAGAGATTTTGACGGCCCTCTGGACCAGGTGAGCCTAAAGTGGGGGAAATGTTATTTTTTTATCTCTTTTATTTTTACTCAATATCTTTTCTTATTTTTCGGGAAAAATAAATGAAATAAAAGAAAAATTAAGTTTAATGAATTAAATATACTCTTTAATTTTCATCCCATTTTTATGTGAAACCAGAATGTAATTACACTGGAAGATAACTGCCTGTGAAACACAAGGGTAAGGCGACTCTTGTAGAGATTTTTGTTTTCCCACGCTTGTGTACATCTACATGTATATTGTATGCAGGACAACTTTCTGTTTCCCAAATTGCACATTGAATGAATGCTCTAGAATCTACACTATGTTCAAATTAGAGTAATATGACTTTTAACCAGGACGCTTGCTATTGTGTTCATGGATTAAGTTCTCATAGGGAGACATTTTGACTAATGGTAGTCATAAAATCTGAAATTTCTATACTTTTTAATGTGGCCTTTGAACAAACGACACCATTATTCCATTATTATTGCAGAAAAGGTTATTAACCAAGGAATGAATTGCCATAATCAGCAAGATAACTAATCAAAATAAGTCCTTGACATTTTTGTTTCTAAATATCTTTTTCCTTTTTATTCAGAATACGTAAAACCTTCACAATGAAAATATTGCATGTTATTAACTATGTTATTTCCTGGGTCTATTCATTGAACACATCAGATTCCTGCAGAAATCAATGTTCTCATTATTAATGCTACAGAACACAAAGGTGTTCAGACGAGTCACCAGTCGCGACAGTAAATGTTTTATTGCAGTCCGACATCCAAATATGTTTACTACACTCACTGTCAATAAAAGCATCTTCTTTTATGGCTCCAGGATCGGATTAACATCTTCATATTTATTTGTAAACAGAGTTTAATTCTGATGTTTTCGTAGTTGTTACTTTGAACTAGTGATAAAAAAGGTCAGGTTGGCCCTGTCCTGAAACAGTACTGTCCTTGAAATTGAGGAGCAAACTGTTTCTTTTTGATCTTCCTGTCCACTAAGCGACCCACAATCCTATCGTATATCCGTTTCCGGTGTGATTGCCAATTGACATAGCCCTGAAGTTGTCTTTGTAAGGTTTCATCATTTGGAAATGGGGATTCCTGTCAGTCAAAAAATAAAGATGTCTTTACTTATTAAGAAAAATACACTTATGTTGTATACAAAAGTTGATGAGAGAATAAGTTTCATGACTTTAATCAAATGTCTCCTTATAATTAAAAAAAATCCTCATCTATACAACTCCAGACAAAGATTTATTCTTAATCTATATTAAATTTAATTCGTAATCTTTCATTCTTGCAAAATCTGAAATTCAGTATATTATTATACATTATAGTATTGATAATGTCAATGTGACAGTCTCCATTCCAGAAGATCTTCTTACACCCAAAGAACTTCTTACTTTATTAAGCAGAGATATTTCTAAATTATCGTTTATTTTTGTCTATTATATAAATAAATATAAATAAGGTTTGTCATATTGTTGTTTTTTTCCAATATTAACTAGTAAAAAGTTATTTGGAAGAGAGACTGAGATGAAATCAATACAAACTTAAAGCTTGAAAACCGAGTTCTGCCAGAAAACTGTTATTCTTTGTTTTCGCATAAATTCAAAAGAAAACGTCTTATACACAAAGAGCTAATTATCCTAGTTCATCTTCGTTTAATCCTGCATCAAAATCACCTCCCAAAAAATTACGGACCCACATGCATGCTCAGCTCCAATAATGTAAATGATGTGACTGAAAGCAGAATGATACCTACTGATTGATAGATGCTCCGCATTGTGGCGTCTGTTTTCTTCTCCATGAAGAATTTCTTGGATATCATTATACATTCTGCACCGTTACTGATTACCGACATGCTTGGCTGGTCTTGATAGATCATATTAGCTACTCCCTGACCAAAAAAAGGAGACATATAAAACCACAACTACTGGGTGTAATCAATCTCATCACAGAAAAAAAAATCCAACAACTTTCTTAGTGTTTAATTTATTCTTTACAGAAACGTCATTGTGCCAGTCTAGAACAGAAGTCTACAGGGTGTATATGTTACCCCATTGTAAGTGACTCTAAAGGATATTTTAAACTTTGCAATAAATGCAACGGACTAGGTTGTATGATGGAAAACTGTTCTGAATCTATGAGTTTATAAATTGAGATAAGAATACCTTGCTCTGTTTATCAGATTACATGCCCATATTCACACCTTTGCCAATTCCAATGATATCTTATTCCAATCTCATTTAAAGACAATTATTGCTTTTTTATGCTAAAAGACTCACGAAGTATTGGCCCTTTTCGAGAACCTGAACCACGATAAACACGGGGTGGAGATCCGCCTCTGTAAGCACCACACGTGACGGTGGGCGGTTGTCGTACTCATTGACAATCGTCTTCCTCCCCTCTAATTGTGTGGACAGTTTCTGTTGGAGGTCTGTGAAAAAAATCAGTTCTGTATCATTTGGAAAAAAACGAGCAACGTACATGTACATATTTTTTTTAGAATTATATAGGGCATTTATAAAGTACAGCAAAAAATATAATACAATAATTAAAATTGCCTTTTCATTTCTGTTTGTTTATCTCACAGACCTTTAGATGCTTTAATCCAACTTAGAAAAAGTTTGGGGTGTACCGCATATACTCGCCTATAAGTCGGTTGTATTATTTAAGCTTAAATTAGAGGGTTTGATACGCTAAAATAACCAATCTTTTTATAACTCGCGTATAAATCGGATAAAGAGTTTTGGACCAAAGTTTAACTCCCAAAAAAACAACTTATAGGTGAGTATATACGGTAAAAGAAAATATAGGTATGAAACTCCTTACATACGAGGGGTGATCAAAAAGTTCGCGAACTATCTCTATATTTACAAAACTGATATTCAAATCAGAATTAAATTTGGCACACAAATATTCATAAACATGTTCTATAAATAGCAGATGTAACGTAATGTTTGTGACGTCACAATGTGAAAATGCCGTCAATATATAGATGATTTGTGACAAAAAATGGCTGACTTGGTCGTACTCGAGAAACGAAAGGCTGTAAAGTTTAACGTATATCTTGGAAATACCTTTGCAGTAGCATATAATAATTTGTACGAGGTTTATGAAGACAAAAGACTTGGCCAGAAGTTCAATCATTAATTGGATTGATTGTTTTAGTGTAGGGAGATGGTTAATTTATTAAAGTAAGCTGGGACGAGATGTGTCCTTGGTTGAGCAATTTGTTATGAAAGATCGCAAAGTTACAGTTAGAAATATAGTTGAATATCTTAAGAATATTATAATTATTAAATCCCTATAATACCATTTACTTTAGACGTTAAACATATCAGATATGTTAAAAAGAAGGCTACCATACTTTATCCACAATGGAAAAACGACGCACCCAAGACAGAGAAGTCGGGTTGTGATGGTCACCATGCTCATTCTGGGATAATATATCCTTATCCACCCATCCTACTGCCGAGATTTGGCCATTTGCGACAAATGGCCTATTCTTGTATTAAAAAATTAGCTTGCATGGTAAGAAATATGACTCGGAAAAATCTTTTAGCCTCTGTGAACAGAACCCTATGGAGCATGTCACGTGACCGCCTAGATGATGTGATTCGCGCATGGGCATAACGGTTACAGATGTGCAGACTACTTTAAAAAAAATAATAAACACCGAGATCTAATTCTATTTCTTTACTGGAAGTTATTTGATTAGTTCGCGAACTTTTTGATCACCTCTCGTAGGGTACCCACTTTCGCCATGGGTACTCTAGGTAAGGAATTCCATACCTTTATCTTTTTTTAACACCCCAACTTTTTTGTTAGTCGGATTAAAGCAATCTAAAGGCCTGGGACTTATCTGTCTATTTGTCCTTATTTTTCACATTGTCATTTAACTTAATTATCAGTTTTAATTGTAAAGTAGTGTCAATTCATCTATGGTTGTTTTCTTGGAGATACAGAAGTGATCTATCAGAAGAAGTTCTCAAAGAGTACACACTGCGCATTCTAAATGGCATCAAGCTTAAATATCTGTACTACTGATAGATTAGCTTAATGTCTTGTGTTTTTTCTGTCTCGGCTCTCTCTCACTGACCTTTTTCTTTGCGAGCGATTTCCTCCGATAATGAGGCCTTTTTATCCCTATTTGGCTTTGTGGAACTAGAGGAAAGGTACGCACCCTAGGGGGATAAATGAAGAATATAAGTCATTTTTCTGTCTTCATTAAAAAATAACATCTTTACAAAACCGATGAAAGCAAGTTACAAACCAGACACTAAATTTAAATTATCATATTTTTGAAGAAAAAAAAGAAAAACATATCAAAGAAAGTTAGATGAATTATTACAACCTCAGTGTTTATTTGTATTTCTGTGTAAGGGCGATATCATCATCAGTCAAACATTACACATGCAGTTAAGGTACTTTTAGGGAGTGAGTAGTTACACATACACAATAGATACCATCAGTGTGTTGTTAGGTTACACAGTCCTAGTATTTTGGAGAAAATACATGCGATTTTTACCCTACCGTGTATAATGCACTATTCTGGGAAACTGTATTGACCACACTCTTATTGAAGAAAAATAAAGATATCTATTAATGTATATTGCACATCAGTTGCCAGTTTATTATACCTAACAAATGCGTACCACATTGCTACTATTTTATCAAAATTTCATTGTGCAGTGACGACATTAAAGATCTTATTGCTCTTCCCCCAAAACAAAACAAACCAAAAAAAAAAAAAAACAAAACAAAACAAAACAAAAACCCAAAACCAGAAAAAGAAAATCAAACAAAAGCCTTTCTTTTGAATAAAAAAAAAGTGTGCGTTATGAACAAGTCGATCTTTCACCCCATTTCCCAATAGTAACACCAGTTTTTACCTTTGACGTCTTGTGTATCTGAGGCAAACGCAAGGGTTCCTCTTGCGTTTTGTCCGAACCTTTTTCATCTATTTCCGTCGCTCGCTTGTCCTCGACCGGCTCTTCTGATTCCTGGTTTTTCAGAAGACGGGTTTTGTAGTTACTGATGACGTCATCATAGTCAATTACTCCCAGTCTGTCACGTGGGTTATAATAGCCCGGAAGTGTTTGGTCCTTCAAATAAATCAGAGTAACTGTTACAGTATTCCAAGAAATATCTTCATATTGAAACTCAAAACTCTTTGGAAATAATGAAAAAAAAAGCCAAGAAATAGAATGCTTTCTATAGTACAAAAAGTTGCAGATCTACCAGACGCCTATCCAGCTCATAGTTGCTTTTGTATGTTTCTGGTTCCCTCTCCGATAGAGGTCGCTTGTGATGATTACGTAATCTGTACGACCAAGTCCCGAAGGATTTCGAAGTATCTTCAGTATTATAATCTAATGATCTGCCTTTAAAATCAATAAATAAAAGCTTTTGGAAAAAAAATCTTTAATATTGATTTTATACAATTAATAAACATTAATACTTATGTTACCGATATATTGAATATATTTGCCTAGCAAATGAAGAATCGAATATGAGTGCGTTTTAATATTGTATGATTGCATGAGAATACAAGGTTATGTATGTTTCTTACCTGGAATATTGTGTATTGTTCTGGGTCGGCTTTTTTCAGGTCCCACCTTTTTTAACTTCTTTACGACTGATAAACTACCCTACAAAATATTGACGTAAAAAGAGCTTTATGAATTATTAAAAGAATTTATCAAATGGTCGTGTATAGATTTGTTGAACTTTTTAAAATCAATAAAAAGACAAGCAAAAAGAGACATTAGTTTATATGAATGATAAAAAGAAAAAAAAATCCAATATATGTGTATTAAATGCTGTATGTTTCTTCTGTAATACACAATGGTTCCGTTCGAGGTTGCTAATGCCCTGCTATATAATGCCGTGTCGCCCGTCGTTATCAACACAGCCTTCTCTCGATGATGAACTTTTGCAGTTCATAATGTCTTCTAGAATTTTTTATAATCTGATTTGAATAGTGTGACGAATTATGAGTGTCGGTCATCATAAAACGTAATCCATAATCGTGAGCAGGATCGATCCACTTGGATAGAAGAGACTGATCGAGGTCGAGCGGACGGGAGCAAAAAAAAAAAATATAGATGGTTCGCAAGAAATTCTTCATTAACCAAATCGTTGATCGTCACGTAAAAGACAGCGCCTAACAAATAACGCTTATTTTGGAATCCTATTTCAATTTATTTTCCGATGTTTGAAGATTTATTATACTCAAAAACCATTGAATTAAAATATTTCTCAAATAAATTACAATGAGGTTTTTCACATAGATATATCTGTAATACAGTAGTGGAAAGACTCTAAATCTTGTGCAAATTTTTGAATGCATTGTTCTGAAAAGTCTTATGAATTTTTTGGAGATTTAGTTGTAAGCTATAGGTGGGTTTCATTTCATTTATTTTTTCAAGAACCTTTCAGCAATTCTATAGATTTTTCCGGGTGAATCTCGGTTATCAATATATTGAAGATAGTTTACAAATATTCTCGATATTAAATGGGTTATTTGTCAGCTTTCTTGATAAGCAGGGTGTTATTTTTTTTTCTCAAAGTCTGATCAAATTTTCAGACGCAGGTCTCGTCTAAAGTAATGATGTATTTGTACTTTTTGTTCATTATACCAATTCAAATGTTGACAAAAAAATTTATAACAACTACCAATGGGAATAGGTCAACTAAAACAACTCCCAATGGGAATATGTCAACTAAAACACTTGTTATATGGGTTATATGGATAAATCAAGCACTAAAGATTCAGAAAGCACTTTAACATATCACGAAAACAAATCTTATATACAATCACACGCACTTGACCTTACAAATTTTTCTTATAAAAAATATAACCCCATACCTAATAATTATTAGGTATGGGGTTATATTTTTTAATAAGAAAAATGTGTAAAGTCAAGTTCCTGTGATTACAATCGAAAATCCTTTCAATATTTTTTTTTTTTTGGGGGGGGGGGGTATAATTCTTCGATGTTTCTTGTAGGAACTTATCTACGGATTGTTTTTATGTGAGATAGGTTTTTTTTTTTTTTTTTTTTTTTTTTTTTTTTTTTTTTTTTTTAACAAATCTCTGTTACTGGAATATTAAAAAAAGTAATTAATCTAAGAACTTTAAGAATGGGATCTTTTTGAGGTTGTTATGTCTTTGTAATCGTTTTTTGATTAGAGCTCTGATATAGTCCAGATCATCAGAAAAGATTCCTCTTAAGGGACAGATAGGTATTATACTTACTGATTTAACAATATAGATCCAGTCTGACCTATTACTGTCTCGTACCAAAATCTCCCCACGACTGGAAACAGAAAGATTTAAAATATCATTGTATCAAAGCAGAGTTATTGAACGATATAAAACATAGCAAATCAAACAATACTTGACGTAGCTGTTGAAAGATATCCATTTGAAGAGCGTGCACCCTTCCGTGCTACTATTCTAAAGTCTCCACAGTCGATAACTTTACATGAATCGGATTACAATCTCCATAACTGTTCACTGCTGATTTATCGTTACATATAGACGAGTTTTTTTCCCTTCCAATTTGTGTTATTTAGAAATAAAGATAAATGATTAACACTTACTTGAAATAGTGGAACATGCAGGCTTGTGGATTCTGTGTGAGTGATTCTATTGGCCAATCACGGAGACAGCGCACCTTACTGGAACAAAAGTCAAGTACTGAGTCCATACTATCATGAAACCAGTTGTTCAAGAGGCGGCTAGAGTTATCAGTAACCAAGGGTTCAATGTCGAGAAACTCTATTCTTGTACTTATCGATTGTTTGAAAATATTTATCGATATAAATACAAAACATTTAAAGACCTCCACCTGCCTTAATAATAAGAAATTGGTAATCAATGTGTGCTTCATTTAGTTAACTGGATAAAACTCTTCCCTAACAAATCAACTGTATGGGGGATCTACGTGGCTTACCCCAGGAAGGCGTTGTGCTTTGGATCCGTGACACTTTTCACACCTCCCGCCATGAAAATCGTCTCAAAATCCTTTAAAAGTCCACAAAAGTGAAAATAAATACTGGTATTTCAAACTTATAACAAGTTGCGATGAAGATTTTTTTTTTAAATTCAAATACTGTAACTCCTTAATTTTAAATTTTAAGAACAGCAACAAATGATTGAAATAATGACAAGAAAAGATTTTCGAGCCGTATACAATCCGCTTACGATTTAGGTCGGAGTTAATGACTGTCCATGTGAGAGGGTTTTATATAGACCGAAGCCGGAGTCCGCGACCTACTTACCGAGGCTGAGATACAGAGAAGTTCGGTGTATGTCTGTGTGCTGACTGTGGCCTGACGCCGCTTCTTAGTTATCACTGCTAATTCCTACATACAGAAAACAAGCCTCAGTTTCCACATTAATTTATTCCAAATGTTCCCGATCATTTATCACCTCAATGTCTTTAATCTACACTGGTCCCTTTAAATGCTATTAAAAGGCAAGTAATCTTTTATTAAACAGAAGATATGTGAGTTTCTGTTGCAAATTGTTTATTGGGAAGGCTTCTGGTTTAATGACTATTGAAAAATAACAAATCCTCGAAACGATTCAAATTAACTTTTTGAGGAGTGCTTACCACAAACTTTGGGTAATAAAAGGAAATGGATTGAATCAAATGAGACTGCTACATGGGTAACATTGTGAAGTATTACACTAGAATACCGGTAATCAGTTGTTATAATCAAACCTGTTTTGTCAAGGCGTTATGATAAAACTTCTTTAACCCCCTCTTTTAACTTCAGATTTCATATTTGAAAAGAATAAATTCAATTGACACCTGCAGGTGCAACAATCTTATTGAAAAGGGAATAATCATACAATAAAGTCTGAGTCTTCATACAGAAAAAAAGTTAAATGAAGTCGCACAAAGATAAGGAGATCGATTATCCGTGAATATATATAGCAATGTTTCTCATTATAACGAAGGCTACAAAGCGGGGTTTAGAGTTCGCTATAAGTGGCTATTATTCTTACTAATAAGAGAGATGATTAAAGAATATCTTTATGGTCTCTTGTCTCAGAAACACCCGGAAGCGTTAATTCATTCCCTGCAAATGTTGGAAATACACAGATCAGATAGTCGAAGCATTAGCCTTTGACTACGTCCTTGGTACATGCAAGCACCTTTGGACTGAATTCTCTAATCTATGGTTACAAAAGATAGAGATCGGAGACGATGCGTGGTTCAACTTCATCCATAAAAGTTGACCTCGGATATACAAATCAAGATTAAAATCTATGCACACCATCAGATCATTGACAACATACTAATGTCCAATAAACAATTAATTTATAAACTAATATATCAAGATTGACCCTTGATACTGAGTATTTGACATTGTTTCAGTTAGGGCTTGGACAACAACATACTGAAGTTTGAATCCATCACAATGTCTTTAAGCTAAAACCCGGACATTATCTCCATCATACAAATAAAATTAAAATTGAAAACAAATTGTCACAAAAATGTTTATGAGATTCAATATTACGTGGGGTTGGGAACTTCACCTTCTGTTTAACACTGTGCATATTCAGTTGAGAAGAACATCTAACCTTCGCCAAGTCTTTGTAAGTTTTGAATAAAGTAATCAATGAGAGGGGTAGGTAGTACAGGTAATTACCCCAAATGACATCCCTCTATGTAGACGGACTAGAAGCTTAGCGTGCCCATCCTCCTTATTGTACGCCGTCACCAACACTGGGCAAAAAAAAAACTTTGTTAATGTCATGTTACTGCAACAAGATTGAATAATTGTTGATTGAACAAGAATTGTGAATTCCAAAGTCGCAAATCTACCTCATAAGAGACTTTGTGTGTATCAGCAATATAGATGTGACTGTGTGTATCAGCAATATATAGATGTGACTGTGTGTATCAGCAATATAGATGTGACTTTGTGTGTTTCAGCAATATAGATGTGACTTTATGTGCATCAGCAATATATATAGATGTGATAATAGTTTTCCGTGACAGGTTGACTTTAAACTTGGATATTTCTGTATCTTAGAACACAAAATGACTTCTATTAAAATACAGTGCTCTACTGATTGTTGCGTGATGCTCCATTCAAACCCGGATCTGTGCTTAGGCTATACATTTGACTTTAACGGATTCAAAGTTTTGGATATGGTTCTGCTGTGATGAAGAAATTATACTATACTAGCTGACTACTTCATAATTGATTGAGTCAGAGATTAGAACTGCTGATGCAAAAACAGCTTCGGGTTCACATTGCAACAACAATAGATAAAAGCGATTCTCCGCTCAAGAACTGCTCAGCTCTCATGAAAACAATTTAAGGGGGAAAAAACTACTTAAAAAGGCAGGAAAGAGGTTTCACATCAAACTGATATATCACTTGCTATAGTCATGTATCTCAGAAAATAAGTTAAATCTGTTTACTTTCTTTTGTTGTGTCTTTTTTTTTTTAATCAGGCTTAGTTTTTGAGGTAGTGTATTCTTGGTATTTCTTTTTTATTCATAAATTATAACCACTCTTTATAGTGAATTTATAGTAAATTCGAAGTGCTACTCGCAGTATTAGCGTGCCTTTAAATGCTTACTTTTTCTCAGTTAATGAGCTGTGCGTGGATTTTATTGTTACTTAAATATTATATCCTTTTACGTCCCTTTCTACCATTAAATGAATAGCATTTTTACCTGGAACATTGATCATTAGTATATGTCACAACCGCCAAGAGTCTTAAAGACTGAAAATTTTAAAAATTCATTGAAATGAATTATGGTAAAATATTTTATCTGTTTTTCTAGATTCAGCTTAAGTATAAGATTGATAGATTAATAAAATCTTTAATGGAAGAACTGCACGATTTCACGATTTGTCAGCTTTGAATTTTAAATGTCATACTGCAAAGCCGTTTACTGATGGACGCACGGCGACTTTATAGAAAAGAAATATGATGGGGATGCATCCAAAAATTTTGTTTACTACATTTACATATATTCTAATTCACTGGTAAACAAAGAAAACTAAATGCCATTAGATAAGTAATTTTTCAGAAAAAATGATATGCAGATCAATATAGATATTTACATTTGCAAATGTTTTCCCCACGATAAATTGAAGTCCAGACTTTTTGAAATCATTGACAGCTGGTTTTTCTTAATAAAAATGGAACTTGTAAATTTTCTTATCTTGTTGTTGGTCATTTGCAAAATTATTTTGTTAAAAAACATTCTGATTGTACACACAAGTACTCTGAAGTTAATATTACAAAGATGCTTGAGTTTCTGATTGACAATATCTATGTGGTTTTTGGAGACTAGGTCTTCCAACATTTTGTTGGAATTCCCATGGGTACCAATTGCGCCCCGTTATTAGCAGATCTATTTTTGTATTCATATGAAGCAGAATTTATTCAAAATCTTATACATGAGAGGAAGAAAACACTTGCTGTGGCCTTCATCTCGACATTTAGATATATCGATGACATATTATCAATTAATAATAGTTATTTCCATTCATATGTCGACATGATATATCCCGGTGAGCTTGAAATAGTAGAAGGTACCACAGAGTCTGACACATCTGTTTCATATTTTGATATTTTACTAGAAAAAGACGTTAATGGCAACCAAACAACTAAGCTTTATGACAAAGGTGATGACTTCAAATTTTCAATCGTCAACTTCCATACTTATGCAGCAATATACCATTATCACCTGCATACGGGGCTTATTTCTCTCAGTTGATTCGATACGCAAGAGCATGTTCTACGTATGAACAATTTCTAAATTGAGGTAAGTTATCATTAAGTCAAATGCTGACTGACGTTTTTCATACTAATTCTTAGGCCATTACTTTACACACTGAATTGTCTACGGATTTTTCCGTTTTTTTCCCGGTCGTGGCAAGAAGTACACTGCGGGTGTGACCGGTCGGCAGGGGATGCTCACTCCTCCATGGCACCTGATCCCATCTCTGATGTTTCATAGGTCCTTGTTTGCTCTGCTCCGGATTTGTATTGTTTACATGGACTTTGAGCTTGAATACTGTTCGTTATCTCCATATTTCATTCTTTGTTGTATTTCACTGGAAGAGAAAAAAGATCTCACCTGTGCCACAAAGGATGAAGTAGAAAGCCTGAGGTAAGTGGTTCTGTCTGACGATAGCCCTCCGTGGATTGTACCTGACCAGAGAGAACAGGCTTGTTATAGAATATACATGTATATCATTTGATTAAATAACAACCGCAAACCTGCTATCAAGCTATATTATTTTATATTTTTTCCTAAATAATTAGGATGTTTGTAAACAAAAACATTTATTTCAAATATTTGGTAATCCAACATAATGTAACTTTTACAACATAGTCAAAAATCATAAGCTTAACCTGTAAATCACATCAACGGACAAGAAATCGGAAATTTTACATGAATGCTTGTGTCATTTATCACAAATAATATCAAAAGAAAATCAGAACATTTTGATCTAGTTGTGTATCAATCACTAACCATAAAGCGGAAACAGGAAATCAGATATATCTATGTATCATATATATCACAACTAATATAGGCAAGAAATCAGAAAATTAACCTGTGTATCTTATTATAACCAACATAAACAAAAAAAAAAAAAAAAAAAAAAAGAAAAAGAAAAAAGAAAATCAGGAAATTTTTCACTTTACGTTATATTGATAGAAGAGCCTAGTATCATCAAACAGATGGGTTCAAAAATAGGTTCTAACTACAGTTAATCGATTGATTAACGGGAATCGGTTTTTATAAGAAATAAAGGCGAAAATATTTAGAAGATATAAATATATCACAATCATCAACATAAAGAAGAAATCAGATTTACTTGTGTATCATAACACAATTTACACAGACAAGAAAGCAGATTTACTTGTGTATCATAACACAATTTCCACAGACAAGAAATCAGATTTACTTGTGTATCATAACACAATTTACACAGACAAGAAAGCAGATTTACTTGTGTATCATAACACAATTTACTCAGACAAGAAATCAGATTTACTTGTGTATCATAACACAATTTACACAGACAAGAAAGCAGATTTACTTGTGTATCATAACACAATTTACTCAGACAAGAAATCAGATTTTCTTGTGTATCATAACACAATTTACACAGACAAGAAAGCAGATTTACTTGTGTATCAGATTTACCTGTGTATCATAACACAATTTACACAGACGAGAAATCAAAATTATCTGTGTATCATAACACAATTTACACAGACGAGAAATCAGATTCACTTGTGTATCATAACACAATTTACACAGACAAGAAAGCAGATTTACTTGTGTATCATAACACAATTTACTCAGACAAGAAATCAGATTTACTTGTGTATCATAACACAATTTACACAGACAAGAAAGCAGATTTACATGTGTATCATAACACAATTCAGATTTTTTTTACGTGTCATATCACAATCTACAGAAACAAGGAATGAGAAATATGTATCATATCACACTGGAAAATCAAGATAGGCAAGAAATCTTAGAATTTCAGCTGGTTTGTGGGTAGACATCCAGACCAAGGTTGTTTTGTGGGTAGACATACAACCGGAGCATGATTACAGCTAGCTTAGGGATAGACGTCCAGTCAGATGTCCGTGATTGTGTATTGGTTTGTTGGTAGACATCCATTTAGAGCGCTGTGATTATGAACTGTTTTGAGGGTAGATATCCAGGCAGAGCTCTTTGATTATGAGCTGGTCTGAGGGTAGACATCCAGGTAGAGTTCTGTGATTTTGCGCTGATTTTTCGGTGGACATCCGTTCAGAGCTTTTTGATTACGACTGGTTTGAGAGAAGAATGTGCCCTTTTGACACAGGGAAAAAGGTGTGTTCGCTGGTATAAAGTTATAAATTCTAACGAGAATACAATTTGGTAAGTAAAATTGACGAAAATAAGGTTCACTTGGTGTAAATATATGTTATGCTCAGGTGAGCTAAAAAAACAAGATAGGAAGAAATCTTAGAGAAGGCGTGTATATCTGTATCATATCACATACAACAGATGAAACAGAAATCCCATATAATAAAATAACCTAATGAAATTGATATATGGGGAAAACCTATTGATTTAACATATAAGAACCAACAGATAAACGAGAAGTAAGTAAAAGAAAGATCCATCAGTGCCACACATCACGATTTATAGAAAAAACAAGTGTTAAAGAAGACAACCAACTGCATCCTAGCATAAAAAGACGGGATCGGAACCCAAAATTTCCCAGTCAGATAGTTTTTAGTTTTAACTTGACATTAGTATGATAGAAAAGTAGAGGCTTTCCGAAGAGTCTTTAAGATTTGTCTTTTTAAATGCCGATGCAATGTACAATTGCAGTATATCATTACTACACAGTATTCCTTATCCATGCCTGTAAAACGCCTATTTACAGCACAGATTAAGAATGTGTGAAAAAAGAGACTAAGTGAAGATAAAAAATGCTATTATCACGGCGATTAGACTAAAAATCCGTCATAAGACAGACAGGAGTTCAAGCACTGACATGTCTGTCTCCAGAGATTAATGTATACCGTGGCCGTGACCAGAAAAATTACTCCAAAGACAAATGTGACAACGATGTAGTTATACCCTGGAGTGATTAGAAAAAATCCCCTCACGCTCTCTGCTGCTAATTTGATTTTTGAGGATTTCACCCTCAGTCGTAGAAACCATTTATATGTACCATACACGACTAAAATATCTATATTTCATAGCACAGAGACTTTTGAGCTGTATGATTGTTTCAATCTCACCATATTCTGTCATATGAATTACAAGTATTCTGAAATCACATGGGAAATCGGAGTTTGGATATATTTCTAGTTGTGCAGTGGTATTGGAGAGAAATGCATTATCTATTTTTATTGATGAAAAATAATACCATGGAATTTTTTGTATGCAATCAGACAATGAATGTCTTTATTACATAACATATATTTACACCAAGTGAACCTTATTTTTGTCAAATTGTATTCTTGTTAGAATTTATAACTTTAAACCAAAGAACACACCTTTTTCTCTGTGTCAAAAGGGCACATTCTTCTCTCAAACCAGTTCGTAATCAAAAAGCTCTGAACGGATGTCTACCGAAAAATCAGCACAAAATCACAGAGCTGTAATTGAATGTCTACCCACAAACAAGCTCATAATACAGAGCTCTGACTGGATGTCTAACCGCAAACCAGCTCATTATCATAGAACTCTAACTGAAGTCTATCCACAAAAGAATTAACACATAATCGCAAAACTGCCTAAATGTCTACCCACAAACCAGCTCATAATCACGGAGCTCTGACTAAATATCTTTCCACAAAGCACATAATCGCAAACCTCTGACTGAATGTCTAACTGCAAATCAACACATAATCACAGAGCTCTGACTGGATGTCTATATGTCTACACTCAAACCAGCCCTCAATCATAGAGCTCTGACTGGATTTCTATCCTTAAACCAGCTCATAATTACAGAAGCTCTAAATGGATGTCTACCCACAAACCGATTCACAATTACGGACATCTGACTGGACGTCTATCCCTAAACTAGGCCGTAATCACACTCCGGTTGTATGTCTACCCACAAAACAACCTTGGTCTGGATGCCTACCTAAAACAAGCTCATAATCAAAAAGCTTTGCCTGGATGTCTACCCACAAACCAAATAGTCAAAGATCTTTGCCTGGATGTCTACCCACAAACTAGCCCATAATCAAAGAGCTTTGTCTGGATGTCTACCCACAAACTAGCCCATATTCAAAGAGCTTTGCCTGGATGTCTACCCACAAACTAGCCCATAATCAAAGATCTTTGCCTGGATGTCTACCCACAAACTAACCCATAATCAAAGAGCTTTGCCTGGATGTCTACCCACAAACCAGCTCATAATCAAAGAGCTTTGCCTGGATGTCTACCCACAAACTAGCCCATATTCAAAGAGCTTTGCCTGGATGTCTACCCACAAACTAGCCCATTATCAAAGATCTTTGCCTGGATGTCTACCCACAAACTAACCCATAATCAAAGAGCTTTGCCTGGATGTCTACCCAAAAACCAGCTCATAATCAAAGAGCTTTGCCTGGATGTCTACCCACAAACCAGCTCATAAACACAGAGCTCTGACTGAATGTCTATCCACAAACTAGGCCGTAATCACGCTCTGACTGGATGTCTATTCACAATCCAGCTCGTAATCACAGACCTCTGACTGGATGTCTTTCCTTAGCCCAGCTCATAATCATAGAGCTCTGACTGGATGTCTACCCTCAACCCAGCTCATAGAGTTTTAACTGAATGTCTACCCTCAACCCCTCTCATAATCATAGAGCTCTGACTGGATGTTTACCCTCAACCCCTCTCATAATCATGGAGCTCTGACTGGATGTCTACTCTCAACCCCTCTCATAATCATAGAGCTCTGACTGGATGTCTACCCCTCAACCCAGCTCATAGAGTTCTGATTGGATGTCTACCCTAAAATCAGCTCATAATCATGGAGCTCTGATTGGATGTCTACCAACAAACCAGTTCATAATCACAGAGCTCTGGCTTGTTATCTAACCACAAATCCAGGCCATTCATAATGTTCTATATGTAATAAATGACAATAGGATATACATGTACCTACCACTCAAACCAGCCGACCTGGCATAGCTCTATTTGCATACCATTAGAATATACCTACCCTCAAATCAGCCGGTGTAACGACGAAAAGTGATCCCCGTAGAATATTGACCGGGGGTCATTTTTCTACGTAGAAATTTGACCCCCTGGTCAATATTCTACGTAGAAAAATGACCCCCTTTTTCGTAGAAATTATGGCCTGGGGGTCATTTTTCTCCGTGTGGGTTGTAGAAAAATGACCCCGTAGAATAACGACCCCATGTCTTTTTTTTTTAATACAAAAAACTGGTTTTGGTAGGAATATTCTTGTTAGGCAAATACGTACAGGTAAAATCACTCAGCCTAAAAGCTTTAAAGTTTAAGTAACAAAAGGTTACACTATACCTTACATGTACATCAATAATACAAGATATTTTATCCCATTAAAGGAAAAAAAAGTTTCTAGAGTCGTCATTTAAAAAAAAAACAAGATTATTTACTTAGATGGTGTCAGAGAGAGAAGAACTTGTATATGAAAAAAAAAATGCATGGTTTCTGTATATAATTGTAATGATCCTCTTTAAATTTTACTCTGAGTAAATGATGTGAAAAAAGGAATGAAAATAATTTAAAGTCTCAGGCGTTTTTTTTCTTCAGAAGTTACCAGAAAGAATGATTGTTTTCGAACCCTACCCAAATAATTCTGCGTGAAAAAAAAATGGACAATTGTTAAGAAAATTAGATCTCATATATATCTTTGATTTTCTGGTAAAAAAAAAAACTTCTAATAAAAATATAAGGAAGATTAAATTTGTGTAAAAATAACAGACATGACTAAATCAAAATTCGTCTGATATTCGATCTCAGAGACACAAAAAATGGTTAGCTCAAAATCTTTACCAATATGTCTTTTTTCGTTTGCTAGTGTCAACAAAGCCTATAAACAAAATGGGGCTTTTTACATAAAAAAAATTTGATTAATTAATAAAAGAGGTGTTTGGTATACTAGTAAGAATTGACACAAGTTTATATACAGTAGTACGTATTTCCCCTTTCTAGTTACATGTAATAATCTTTACCAATAGAAAAAAAAAACCGAATGTAGCATTATGAAAAAGCTTCTCTACCTAATTTACATATTATTTTTTCCCTAAGCATGATTGCCAATATTAGCACAATTGAAGTTGCGTTTGCAAGACTACATAGAACTGTGCCCCCCAAAAAATTGTAACACATATTGTGTTCGAATCAAGTACGTGATTCGTGTCAGCGTATCTATAGTGGTAAGTTTTGAGGGAGTGGGTAACGAGGATATAACCCACTCTTTAAATTAGCTAGCCTATAGGAAACAAAATCTGGCCATGTCTTTCTATACACAAATTAAGCGATCTTGCTGTGTGATACGAGGTTTCAAAAATATAAGAGTTTTTAGGATAAAAGTAAACAAAAATCCCTTTTTCTTACATCAAAAATCCTACTTATAAGGAGTTAAATATATATAATGCATAAGTGCATGATTATGTAGATTATACAAGTATCTATATAATGATCAAGGAAGGAGAGTATATTGCCAGTATTTCTATCACAATCGAAGGGCACTCCTAACAAAAATTTACTATAGTAAACTATAGTTAACTATAGTTTACTATTATTAAGTATAGTAAATACTTTGATTAACTATGAAACTTTGTTTGGAACTTTTTTGAGATTTCAAAGCTTAAACTCTCTTAAATTGATATCAGTAATGTAAAATTTTGCGATGATATGTTAATGAACAAGAAAAACGAGGGGTAATCAAAAAGTTCGCAAACTAATTGAATTACTTCCATAAAAGAAATAAAAATCAGATTTCGATGTTTATTATTTTTTAAAGTGGTCTTCTCCGATTTGAATTCAATTGCAAATCTGCCATCGTTCTGCCCTTACGCATACGTGATCCAGGCGTTCACGTGACATGTTCCGTAGCGTTCTGTTCACAGAAATTAAGATTTTTCCGAGCCTTATATTTCTTACCATGCAACTTATTTTTTTATAACAAGAATAGCCCATTTGTCACAAATAGGATTGTGGATTAGGATATCTTTTCCCAGAATGAGCATAGTGACCATCACAACCCGACTCTTTTGTATTGGGATGCGTCGTTTATCCATTGTGGATAAAGTATGGGCGCCTTCTTTTTATCATATATGATATGTTTAAAATCTAAAGTAAACGATATTTTAGGGATTCAATAATTATATTATTGATAAGATATTCAACTATTTTTCTAACTGTAATTTGGCGATCTTTCGTTACAGATTGCTCAACTAAGGACACATCTCTTCCCAAGCTTCCTTTCAATGGGCACCAGAACAAACATCATTTTAACCACCTCCCTTCCTTCACTAAAACAATCAATCCAATTAATGATCGAACTTCTGCCATGTCTTTTTGTCTTCATAAATCGTGTACAAATTATTATATGCTACTGAAAAGGAATTTCTAAGATAAACGGTAAACTTAAAATCCATTCGTTGCTTAAGTACGACTGAGTCGACCATTTTTTGTCACGTCATCTACATATTGAGTCATTTTTATATTGTGACGTCCAAACGTGGAGCAAATATCTGCTATTTATAGAGCATGTTTATAACTAAATGTTTGCCAAATTTCATTTTGATCCGAACTGGTTTTGTAAATAACGAGATAGTTCACGAACTTTTTGATCACCCCTCGTAGTTTCCTAAAATATAAAAAAAGAAATTGCACATATAAATTTAAGAACATAAAATATCACAATCATATATAAAAATACTTTGATTTACGATAGTAAAAACTTTGCTTCTGCATTAAACTATAGTTATCTTTGGTAAACTATAGTTGTTTTTGTTTTGTTTTTGTTTTTGTTTTGTTTTGTTTTTTTGTTTTTTTTTTGTTAGAGACTATCAGTGTTTTTCATATAGCGATCCTGATACAAACAATATATATAGTGTTTCATAGTTATAACGTTATTTAGATACATTCGTTATTTCCCTACAATAGAGATAATATAATGTTACAGACAATAATTGTAAGTACACAAATTACACGGGAAATAAGAAATCTATGAGCCAGTGCTCTCTAGTGATACCCCACCCGCACAGACAGACGGACAAGATTAGTACCAAAATGAATCACTGTATAGCATGCCGAACCAAAGAATGTATAAAATTCAAGCATCTGCGATGAGTTGTTGCAGAGAAAACTGCAACGAAAAAAAATGTTTCCGACAGACAGACAGACACAGACACTCAACCCGCACACACAACAGAGAGATTCGCAGGGTACAAGGTATATACCCACATTTTCTTCGAAGCGGGGGTATTAATATTCATGTAATAAATAAGAATAAATGAACTAAAAGAGGGAAAAAGATATAACATGATATTAAAAATGAAGCAGTAATTACATTTACATTTAATGGTAGCATCTCCATATTGGACGCAATTTGACACTTCATATGCCGTGCTTTCTCTAATTTTTTCCTTGTCTAAAAATAATAATACAATACGTTTTTTGTTTCAATGCAATGGTGTATCCAGAAACTGATACATGTAAAAGCTGGGGTGGAAGCAGGTTGAAAGCGGGCAAAAGTTTTAAGTTAGAATTATGGGGCCACAAACTTGTCCTTTAAATAGATTCCGATAACATCCATTCCATACAGGTATATCGTTGTCAGAAACATATACAGTAAAATTCGGTTATAGCAAAGTCCTGGGGACCTGTGAAATTACTCCGCTATATCCGTAATTCGTTATATCCGTATTAGGAATTCATTAAATTTATTTAGTTGGGGATCCAAGAAAACTTCGTTATATCCGTGAATTCGCAATATCCGTGTTCGTACTAAACGAGTTTTACTGTATATATGAAATATGAATTTATGTTCCTCATTAATGTATACTCAATGGGATGCAAGCAAAAAAAACATACCACGTACATTGTATGTCATGCTAGTATTGAGAAGTGGCGTTAAGGAAGGGAAGATTCCCCCAATATACATTTGAAAGAAAAAAAAAATCAGGAGACTCTAGGCCTTCACCGACCCTCCCCAACATCGGATTAACGCATATCACACCTCATTTCTAAAGGTTTAATTATAAAATATAGTGAAAAAGTAGGGGGTCAGATTTCTATGGGGGTCATTTTTCAACGTGTGCGGAGTCGTAGAATTACCGGCCTGGAAGGGTTTTCTACGGTCGAAAAATGACCCTACTTGCCGTTGAAAATTGACCGGGCGGTCATTTTTCTACGGAGAAATTTGACCCCCCGGTCAATATTCTACGGGGGTCACTTTTCGTCGTTACACCGGCATATCATTAGAATATACCTACCCCTCAAACCAGCCGACCTGGCATAGCTTTATTTGCATACCATTAGAATATACCTACCCCTCAAACCAGCCGACCTGGCATAGCTTTATTTGCATACCACTAGAATATACCTACCCTCAATCCAGCCGGCATATCATTAGGAAATACCTAACCCTCAAACCAGCCGACTTGGCATAGCTTTATTTGCATACCATTAGAATATACCTACCCCTCAAACCAGCCGGCATATCATTAGGAAATACCTAATCCTCAAACCAGCCGACTTGACTTGGCATAGCTTTATTTGCATACCAATAGAATATACCTACCCTCAAGCCAGCCGGCATATCATTAGGGAATACCTACCCCTCAAACCAGCCGACCTGGAACAGCTTTATTTGCATATCATTGGGAAATACCTACCCCTCAAACCAGCCGACTTGGCATAGCTTTATTTGCATATCATTAGGATACTCAGCAAAAGCTTTGATCTTCCTCAGCACGATCTGGAGCTGTCCAAGTAGATAATATGTGCCGTATAAATGTCAAATTCTAAATAAAGTTTATGGTTATTTCTTACAGTTCATATATCAAATAAATGAAGTAAACATATATGAATTCATAATTCAGTACCAATTTCAGTTTTTGGGGACAACCTAAAAGAAATTTTTGAGAAGCTTAAAAAATGTCATCGGATGTTATTTTTGAGGGGACACAACTGTAAATTAGCTTTGTTTTCTACAGTATATACTGACAAAATCATTGAGGGGGAATACTTGTAAATTAGCTTTGTTTTCTATAATAGTAAAGCCGGTATACACTGGCAAAATTATAGGAGGGAGAACCCCCCCCCCCCCGCGCGTTCTTACTGTCCTAATTCAGAAATCTCCAACAAACTTTGCCAAAATCGAATTTCAGATAATCTAGCTCTCCTTACATCCCACTCTATATTATATTATATTCTTAAAATTTGTTTCTTGAGTCAAGGACGAACACTTAAAAAAGTTATTTCAAGATATTTGTAGGAGATGTTTTCTTCTTGGACGAATATATGAACCCTGTACAATTTCATTGAGAGGATTATCATGAAATGCTAATGTATGTTATATAGATTTTTCTGGAAAAAAAATACGTGAAATTAAAAAACGTAGCATACTTGGACTTGATGTCCAGGAGTAAAGAAGAAGATTTTTAAAGATCATCAATTTTGGTGGTTTTAGCCCCACCCCTGGGGCTCCAGGGGGGCAGGGACCATGAAATTCACAATTTTTGTTCCCCTTCACCCAAAGAAGCTATATGCCAAAATTGGTTGAAATTGGTTCAGCGGTTCTAGAGAAGAAGTTGAAAATGTTCAAAAGTTAACGCACGACGGACGACGACTTAAAAAAAACGGATAGCAATAGGTCACCTGAGTGACTCAGGTGGCCTAAAAATCTCCATTTTTCTCTATCAAATCATCAATATCAATTAATAAAACATAGTTTGCTTTTGCTACTCTAAAGGCATCAACGTTATTTAATAAAACCAGTGATTTTATGTAATCTTGCTTTTCTGTCATCTGATCGGCGACCGTTGCCTTTATTTGACTATCTGCCGTAAAATCAATGCTTACACCGTCAGTCTCCTACCTGTTGGACTGAATAATTTGTTTCATACATTTTAATTTGACCATAAAAATGGCAAGGAGTTAATTACGACTTTTAGAATAAAATCAATGACATTACCTGTGCATATCTGACGCAAAACAGGCCTCAACCTTCCGGGTCTATTGAATAAGACATTCGAAGGTTTATGTAGTTCAAACGAGAAAGAGAAAGAGAGATGTCTTAAAAGTATCATATATGAACAGGCGTTCTCTCAGAATTCGATATGAAAGGGAAGATTCATTTTAAGTACCTTATGCTGTTGTAATTATTCTAATGAAAAATTAGCCCCCGGAAGCTCCTGGATTCTAGAGATTTTGTAGGGTAAAAATGTGATCTACCGAGTAGACATTTTTACTAGGGATGGCAATCGAATACAGAATTGCCAATCGGTTAACCGTAAGACGTTCCGACCAATTAGTCGGTTAATCGTATCAAAAATCTCGACATAGCTACACTCAAAAGTGTAAACTGTAAGACTATAAAAATGTTCATGTAGTAATATTATGCTTATATTGATATATGATCAGAATACTACATATATTGTATTTCAATTTTAAACTGAAGTTGCAGATGCAAATTTCAGAAAAGATGTCAAGGAAGTTCATTCTGCATTGTCACCATAATCAAAATTAAGTCTGATTTATCGCTTAACTTACGATGTTTGTTTTAGAATATAATTTGATAGGTAACTGCAAAGGATAAAAGAGGTAAAATACACCTTGTAATCAGTTCACAGTAGTCAACGATCATTTAATTAAAATCATTAAAGCTACACAGGACAGGGTGTGTAACGACATGTGTTTAACAGTTTAAGCAATTAACGACTCGGAAAGTGACCAATTACCCCCACGCGATGTCAATCTGGGGAGCCTTAATTATCTCCGAATCAGCTTAAATAGATAGGTGAACATACTTACATTTCAAATTGAATTTCCAGGAAATTGTATTCAAATTTACACATATATTATTTTTTTTTGACTAACCGATTACATATTTTCTAAACGATTGCTATCGTTCCGACCGAGTAACCGGTTAACCGATTACAAATTGCCATCCCTAATTTTTACATATCATTTCCTCGACTAAACTATGATATACGCTAACTTTGACAATTTTAGGGGGGGGGGGGGGCGTGCGCCGGGGGCGCCCGCTTAAATCCGCCACTGGTCGAGGTCACTTTTTTTAGGGGGGGGGGGGGAGTGTTGTTACATAAATTGTTTTGTAATAAAGTTTTTATCTTACATAGTGTAGTTCTTTGTCTGTTCTGAGCTCCTGTGTTTTCTGTAGAATCCGTCTGGCCTCTAACGGTAGTCGTTCCTGTAGAGAAAGCGAGATAACTCTTAATGTAAAATATTTAATGAAAAGATTGGGGGGTTGTTGTTTTTTACGCAATAATTTACATAAAATTTTCACGTAAACAAATTGTTTGATCATCGTCATAAAACCAAACAACAACAACATTCCTTTTATTTACATTGATTCAATAATAAAAAAAAGATATATTTTATGTTATTTTTAGTGCAAACCCCGCCCAGTGTATTACTTAGCAAGAAGGCTTTTCTTTCACGTGATGAGGAAATGGCTTTACGAAGTTATATAGATATTTCCTTAATTTGTCAGTTTATTTCGCAAAAAGCCATTTGAAAATGTAAATAATATGCCTGCTGCCTAGTCGTAAACATCCTATCTGTCTGTTTGTCTGTAAACATTTTTTTCTAATATGCTACTTTTCCTTTCGTTAAAACAAACAAACAAACAAAAACAAAGAGAGAAAGAAGAGAAAAACAGAACTCACGCAAATTACAACACGATGAATAATTCTGTTTATCAACTGAACATGATTGCTAACAAAATTAAACAGATTTCACAGTGTTACTCCTCTTCCTATTTTCATTAAAGCTGATTACAACCTATATATATATATATATATATATATATATATATATATATATATATATATATATATATATATATATATATATATATATATATATATATATATCAACATAAACCTTATACATGTACATGTAGTTCGCCATATGAGATATAGAGGTTCTGGGAGGCTTGTCATTATTATCGTAAATATTTCTTTTAAAAATTCCTAAAGAAGTTATTTCCTTTCTTTCATTACTCAATGCATCGAATGTAAAAATTCTTTTACACGAGTTTTAGTTTAAAAATTTTAAATTAATTAACATTTTGTATAGATTACACTAGCTTAAATTTTTGGCTTATCTACCTTCAAATCGATAAGATCAAACTGTCCATGTTACCTCTTTTCGTAATTAGGTAACGTGGGCTGTCATTTTAATGATTTTGTATTTACAATGTATATATATATATATATATTTGCATATGGAATGTCACAAAGAACATGTACACGCTTAAAGCTGCATTTAAATGTTTCCCTTGCATTGTGCTGAATTTAAGAACATTATATGCAACGAAAAAAACATAATTATTTTTAAAAGGTCAAAACGTTTCTTCAAACATTCCACAGGAGTAACATGACCGCGGACATAACGTGGAAATTCTTTATTTGTCCAAGGAAAAAACTTCAAAAACAGAATCACTGATTTTAATAGTCTTGTCAGGGGGTTATTTATTTCGACATGTTTGTAAAAAGAATATTTTCCTCTTTGTTTATAACTAGATGCTCCTGTTAGTAAATAATTAATGCGCCTTTGAAGTATACCCCCAAAGAGGGAAATCGAATTTTATCGACTAGGTGATTATGGAGATATTAAGAGTAATACTAGCAGGAGTAAGAAATGTCTTGGTTTGATGACACTGGAATGAGTCAGCTTACGAGGATTATAGTGTCATATACATTCTTACATTGTTTCAGAACACACAAGACACTGCTTTCTTTGATGTACTGTTATTAGGGTAATAAATCTAGTTGTTTTATCTCGTTCTCTCAATCTGTTTGTTTTCACAGTTTTCAGAAAAAAAAATTAACATGTAATCGAGATCTCAATCCAACAGATTTTGCCATCAATTTACAATCGATAAAGTTATTATCCATAAAGAGACATTGATACTCGCTTGTTTCTTGAAAGTCGAAATAACAGTAGATAAATAATGTTCATTGATCAAGTATGCCCATCAGATTTGGTATTTACCTCTTTAGTAGTTTTCTTGTAGTCAGAGGGATCGAAGTACAACCCCCCTCTGTCCACATTCAGGGTGTCCATGTACATATACTGTAGCACGGACAGGAATTCCGACTCGTGAGACTCCACCCTATAAAGAATAATCGCCATCTGTCTTTAAAAAATGGCTTAAAAAATTCTGTGGTTCTACGCATCTAATATTTTCAAAAAATATATGTACATGTATATGTATCAAAAATATCATTTTTAGCAAAAAATTGGAATGTTTTGAAAAATTAAACCTATAGATAATTTATGCTGATTCTACCATTATATTATAAATTAATATTTACAATTTTACATATTTAATTTGATATTAAAAACCAGTTGATAAAATAGGGTATATGTCCAGTTTGTCTGGTGCACTCGGGTTTTATATTCGGGTGACTGTACGCTCAAAAGTCCACATTATTTTCAAAAAAAGAAGAAATAAAAAAAAAGAGCGACTAGAATATATTTTTTTAACATATAATAAGATTCTACACTTAGAAAAAGTTGTATTCGCTGAAAACGTAAGGATGTGGCGCTTGCAGTGGTCCCCATGCAACCCCACATCCACATCAAATGACCAATAGCTATGCGTATAGGCCTTTTACGATCCTATTGTCCTCATGTTTTTCAGTCTATTGTTGAAGAAATTTAATTTGCATAGAAGTTTGATCACTTGATTGCAGGTGGAGTCGGACCTACCTTTTTTGACTTTGCTGACAAAGGCGGACACAGACAATGACCAATCGAACACACCGCCGGAATCGTTCCAAGGGGGAGCCAACATCCCGAGACACGGGGTCCACGCTGTGGTAGTACTTATGATCCATCAGAAAAGAAATGAAGACTCTGGTTTTATAAACTGCATTCATAATGTTAAATATGGGAATACTGGCAACTTGTGTACACTATTTACTACCGTGTAGTATTTTCAACAGTCGTGTTTACTTTGAGGGACCATATTTACATATGATCAATAGATTTAAGACCATTTTTAATTTCGATGCCATCATTTAGACGTTCTCATTTTACTCTATGTGTTTGTCCGTTTAATGTAGTATTTCACTCAATTAAAATCTGAACATGACCGTGTTGAAAACATATAAAATGTGGTACATTTAACACCTTAAATGCGCCACTTTTTATTTAATTTCAATCAGAAAGTTTTTGAACATGAAGATACATATATTAACAACACGTAGCTTTTGAGAACTTTATTTAACACATTGAAATTTAACCATGACTGGATTGAAAAGAATTTAAAATTAGGTACATATGACACCGTCTCAAAATAAAATTAAGTAAATTTCCAAGTAGTTAAAGAATATAGCGTAATGTTTATATACATAAAACAGCACGTACAGGGTAAGAACATATTGAGAATAATGTATAAAATTTTAATTTTTTCTCGCAAATATCATTTGAGTCAAAGCAAACAAATTCCCTTCCCTTACCTTTTTATGTCTATGCAAATGTCCAGAAAATTTTGCGACTGCTGTTAGGTAATCCATGCTTATTCTCTTCCTTCTGAGTCAAGATTTAAAAATCAAACACCTGATTTATTATCTTTTAAAGCTTTAAAAAAAGAACCGGTGTAATCTACATTTTATAAAAAATAAATTCAAAATTGTGAAAACTCTACAATCTTAATTTTTTTTTTAAATGCAAGCAATTTGATCAAAGAAATTAGCAAAGCGGCAAGGAACAGCTGAATTTTTCCTTGGTATTCGTCACATCGATTAGGCAGAATTTCCTAATACATCGGCTCTATCACAGTTCGTTGCTACCTTTAATTTTCATTCATATAAGTATTATAACATTAAATATACAAGCCCCTGATTCATGTGTCCTTGTTTGCCTAAGTGAGTGTCCACTATTCAAACTCTGGTCACAAATAAGGAAGCGAGCAAATATTGTGCTCCATTGTTGTGACCGATCTCAAACAATTAAAGTATATTACCCTCAAACCAATAATCAGAAAAACACATTTATTTACTTTACAAGTTTAATGATTGTTTCACTTTTGCATCAATCCTAAGACTTGTTTTCTTTTAAATAAATACGTTCATCTGGGGTCTTCGTGCCTTCGAGTGGTCAACTCTTGACTCAAAATCCATACCAAACCATTGACTTGACTAATAGTTCAACACTGCTGAAGGGGAATCGTTCATAAACTTGTAATCTTTAATTCAAATATCGTCACTGACTTTGATAGACAATCGATGTATGTTAACATTTAAACCTATGGCTACCATGAAATCAACAAGTTCATAGAGTCTCAGAATCTCGCAATGTTATTTTTGTCTTTCACTAATTTACAATTAACCCAGTGTATTTCAATTTAAAGTAAGTTTCAAAGAAAATTTATATAGAGTACATGAATTTAAAGCGTGACTTTAAAATAGTACATGTACTCAAATCCAAACATTGACATTGAATGATCTAGAATTATGATGAATTCTCATTTTTCTGATCCTAACAATTATACAAAAGAAAAAAAAAAACAAAAACAAAAAAAACGAACAAACAAAATAAAAAGTACACAAAAATATACATAATGTTGAAATATATGCATTTTTTGAGCATTTCACATTGTGCAATATGCAATCGAAAAATTACTATTCACAAATTTCTTAACAAAGCTGCGATTCAGTATTTCACCTTTGTCAGTGTCTGTATGAAATACACATGTATATTTCACGTAACAATTGATTTTTTTTCAAGACTATCCTGTATAGCATGATGACTTGGGCCCTTTCTGGACGGATGTTTCCCTCTTTCAGTAATGTATCACATCGTCTCATCTCCACTTATATCGCCTTTGTTGGAGTGCCATCCTGCATCCAAACAGTATTTGGGTAAATGTTGCTTTTTCTCCACATAGCCTGGTTATTCTCCCAGGCCCCATCTCAGCAAGTTAGTAGCTAAGAAAATAAATCGTAAAATGGCCTCAGAAAAAAATGAAAGCCGTTATGGCTTTAACCTCCAAAGATTTGATCACGAAATCTTCTCGGGAACAGACCATTCCATGAACTCTATAGACCCTTTTCCTATGACACATTTTGCTTAGGAGTTATTCCCTAGCCGCCATCTTGTATGGCAAAGCAGTGAATTTACCTCTTTGAGCAACCAATTTTAAACATGCATTCAAGAAAGATATTGGGGAAAATATTTACAATTTTATTATCATGAATTAATAGAGGATATAACAAATGTGTATTCATAAGAAAAATAGTGTTATCTTTACCTCAGTAACCAGTATAAGAAATTGAACTTGGTTGAATAATGAAGGGATCTGGGAAAGTTGCCCTACAATATGGCGGCTAAGGGAAATAACTCCTAGGCAAAATTTGTCATAGGAAAAGGGTCTATTGTCCAAGTTCGACAGCCATAAACTTTCTTTGATCTTTCTCTGCTTGACCTTCTTCGTCTTGCACCATATCGTGTCTCTCTTACCTTGTTGTTGATCTCCACTGTCTGTATCTTGTTGTTACCAGACCTTGTCTACCAGTAGTGTTCCAGTGATGTCGCGTATGTCGAGTATGATCTCTACTTGCTGAATTTCATACAGCATAAATGGGAAAAACATTTTAGTAGATCAATGTTTTGAACTTGCCGGTAGGCTAGTATTATCTATCTTCCGCAGTCATTCGCAAAGGTGGTTTTGGACGTTCTTCTTGTTCTTTGCATCTCCAAATATGATAATTACCATCTGTCCGTGCAATTGACTGGATTCTAGGTGATAAATGGAATAACGCCACCCTGCGCCTTAAGTTCAATCTTTCCGTAAGGTGCCTTCTTCACTGTCATGCTACATGTCTTCTTGGGTTTGAATTTCATCTTTGCCCAAATTACTGTTTCTTCCGGGGATTTTAAGGCCCATCTTGCTTGTAAATGAGTGTTGTTGTTAATGTCAGGTCTAAATCCTTTGTTTGCTGATGAGTATCTTGGGTCACCTCTCTCTCTCTCTCAGGTGCACTGATTATTAGGTTCTTGACCATCACAAACAGTGTAGGTGATATTATGCAACTTGTTACAATTCCTCTTTCCAGTCTTTGCCGGGCAGTTGTGATGTCATGGAAGATAAACCACAGTTTGATATTTTTAAAGTAGCTGCTTATTTGTGTATGGTGGAACATGATAATGTAGCATGGCCTTTTTGGTAAGCTCTTGCAGGACAAAATCATGCACATTTGCCAGATCTAAGCATACGTAAGTCATGTCTCTTTCCTTCTCTTAGACTTCGCTTATTAGCTGAATGATGACACTGGTGTGTTCCAAACAGCCGAAAACCCATAAATTCGGCCTCTTTGGGTGGATAATCGTTCGGTGGTATGTACGCTGACATCCTCTTTGCTAATTGCTACTACCGAAAAGAACATCTTCCCTTCCAAACTCAGTGAGGTGCTACGAAACTTGCTGATGCTCTTTGAATCTTTTTCTTTAGGTAATAGGCATCTTTCTGCTCTCCTCAAGTATCTCGGTATTACTCCTTTTCTCCAAACTCTCTTGATCATTTGCCACAAGCATTCTGTGGCTTTATATTTTTCACATAATCTATTAGCACCTATTGAAACAGCATTTTAATCATGTACAAGATTTTGTATATCTAGTTAACTAAGTATAAAATTAATACTACTGCTCCAACTGCTTCTCGTTGTTTTCATCAATCTAATTAAAATTAGATGTTAGATCCTCCACTTAGTGTAGCGAGTATGTGAGCGGATCTAGCATCTAATTTTAATTAATAGATTTTGATTTCATATAAAACATTGTTTTCATACATAGCTTCTTTAAGTAGTGAATTATCATCGGCTAGAACTAGCGATCCTTTGAAAATATTTCTTCTTCTTCCCGTTCAGCGCAAACCACTTAAGTATTATCGCACTCTGCGTGAGGGGGTGAGTGTCTATGTACAGTGCATATTAAAATTTAAAATTAAAGATTAAAAAGGCAGATGTGATTACTAGTGGCTGGCACTGGACAGCTGGGTCTTAAAGCTGTCCAGAGTCTTGGCCTTCACTGCTCCTCCTGGTAGTGAGTTCCACAGCCGGATGGCTTGGGGGAAGAAGGGGATGTGTACACTCCCGTGTCATCAGCAGAGTCGAGTGGTGGATGACACCGATGATGGCAGGTCATTGATGAAGATGAAGATGAGCAGTGGGCCTAAAACAGTTCACTGGGGGACTTCTGATGAGACAAGTTTGCTTTTAATGATATCGACACACATAGGAAAACGACCCAGTTCGCCTCTTATGAAAACCACAAATAAATTTCGAAAATGATAAATACACGCTACTTGCGGCATTTATTTGATATGCAGTAGCATTTCTGATATACATGTAGGTCTCGGTGCATTTGTAAAGGTTTTTATCTAAAATCACATCAGTGGCTCGCTCATGTCGCTTAATTCGGTTATTTGTTTACAGTATTTGGTTTTATTTCAAATGCCCAAAAAGTTGAAAAACAGTGCAAAAGCCCCCCCCCCCCCCACACACACACATACAAACACGGAAAGTGGGGATAGTGTTGTGTACTCTTAATGATCCTTTCCCGGTGAAGATTAAAGTGGAAATATGGGTTCAAATTACCCGCCTCTCAAAACAGGAAGTTGAGATTACGACAGTCGCAAGGAAGACGCCATGACAGAGAACGACAACCAGACAACAGAAACGATTATTTTTGACGGTAAAGCAGACGAAATTCATGCATATTATATAATTGCAAATTACTTAGATGAGAAAAAAGTGTGAATGTAAATAAAAAAGATATTGTAGAGTTTCAAAGAACCAAAAACACTATTGGCACTTGTAAAGGCATCGCCATTGCTGTTGAACCACAAGGTCTTGCAGCTTTACAGACGGTTGTTTCATGCAGTACATTAGATGACTATTTAGTAACACGTGTTTGACCTAGCGCACTGTGGTTTGAACTGTACGGAACAGATTTAACACGAGTCTAGAGTTTATTAAAACTAACATGAAATTCCGGGTAGGATAAAAGAATGTTTTTGGGTATATAGTAACATCTCTTTTGTTCTTGTTTTGTTATAGGATTTGACACAGATACTGAGGGTGATGAAGACATTCACTTATGTAAAAAGTGTAAACTTGTTTTTACAAACTTAAGTGACTATCTCCAACACAAGGTGAAACATGACAACTACAAAGTCAAGCTCTCCAGAACCAGCGACAGGCGCATGGTGGTTCCTCAACTCATCCAGAAACCAGAGAAAACAAAACCAGAAAAGGGCAGTGAAAAAGAAAACATTCAACAAAAGAAAAGAGGTGAGAGTGTTTTGTCTCAACAAAAGAATGACTGTGCTGGGATTTTACATGTGTACATAAGTAGACTTTGGGTGGCTCAGAGACATAATAAAGATTTTTTAACTCTGCCATTAACATGTTTGTTTACTAAAGTATGTGACAGTCCTGGTATTATCCTAAAAATTACTCTTAATTGGTTGTGTCTTTCTAACTAAAGTTAAATTAATTTTAATTTCATTACATATGGGTGTATGATATGTAAAGTTTTAAAGCTATATATTGAAATGTTGAAATTTAAAAGCAAAGTAGGGAAATTAAAGAGGCCAATGATAAAAAATTGGCAAAATCGTGGCAATATGTCCGACCACGAGTCTATTTTTTCTGTATATTCAATTAATTAACTCTTTAAGTAACTTAAGATTGATCTTTTGGTCCATCAATCAGTAGTCTGTGAATTTTGGACCTGCAATCTATTGACTGCCAGTCAATAGTTTGCAAATTTTGGACTGGCAGTGCCCGTATACTTGGTTTCATATTAGGTAATAAAACAGTTATTTAATGTCTGATCAGTCAAAAGACCAGAACATTTTCCCATCTGTGCTGTGAACAGATCAATGTGTTCTATTGCCTGAGGCCAAAAGGACACATTGAGCTGTTCCTAGCATCTTGAGAAAAATATTCTGGTCCATTGACTAATTAGACATTAAATAACTGTATACTGTTATACAAAGCAACTTTTCTATGACAGCAATTAAAAAAAAAAAAAAACAGGGAGTCCAATGCACTGAATCTGGTACATGTTAAGTTATGAGTGGGCATGTAAAAAATGAAGAGTTGCATGCCCAGTTTGCAACTTGGCATGTGGAATGTTTTCTTCATTGTAGACTGCCTTTTGTGTAAACATTTTATACAGTGGATTGCTAGCCTATGATTTCGGCTCTGATCGATTAAATGTGTATATTTTTTTTTCTCCAAGATGATCCTTTTTCCCTCTTTGATAATTTCTATCTTGGTTTTGTTTGTGTGTAAAAATTGGGAAATAAGGTAAGGGAAATAAATAAAATCAAAAGAAAACATTTACGTCTGACAGAATTTTATCATTACCCCCCACCCCCTCTTTCAACATGTTCAATTGTTTAATATGCATTTACTAAATTCAAATTTCTTCAAAAATAGCAGTGATTACAACATTGTTTAGAAGATTTGTTGAACTTTCTGAACTCTCGTTTTTACATAATATATACAACGTGTACCAAATAAGTACATCTGCATGCAGTAGTCAATGACTGGTCAAGTAAGGGGGTAAAATTTGTTTTCTATATACATGATATAACTAAAATAACATTGTAATTAAACCAGACCAGTGATATAGTTGACCAAAAAAGTGCATACACAGTTTGAAATCAATTTCACAGGTGTCACATGCAATGGAGCATAACTTACTAATCCCATGTCTTTCTACTCTTGTTTAAATTCTCGAGATAATCCTGCCACATTGTGTATACAAACTGTAAATAGGATTTCTACATGGAATCCAAAATTCAGAATGTGTAGAAACTGCAATCACTGCATTTATGGCTATGTATAGGTAGGCAGACATTGGGTATATGGCTATATGCATGACAACCCGAAAGAATTTGAATTTTTTATGCTCCCGCCATAAAATGGCCGGGGCATAAAGTGTTACCCTGTTCCGTCATTATGTCATCATTCACTTTCTGTTCATTATCTCGGCAACAGTTGCACACATTCAACTCAAACTTGACATATGGATATGTCACAGGAATATGCAGGTCAAATTTGAATTTGGTCATGGTCCAATGATTTTTGACAGAGTTATCCCTCTTGAACTTAGAAAAAAATAAGAAATTTTCAGTTTCTGCTCTCTAACTGTTGTAGGGATGTATGTATAAGGTTGAAATTGCATATGTAGGTATTTTACCAGAAAATACAGGTCAAGTTCAAATTTGGTCTTGGTCCGATGATTTTTGACAGAGTTATCTCTCTTGGACATAGAAAAAAAGAAGAAATTTTTAGTTTCCACTCTCTAACTTTTGTAGGGATGTAGTGTATAAGGTTGAAATTGCATATGCAGGTATTTTACCAGAAAATACAGGTCAAGTTCGAATACAAATCAAAACTAAATATGAAACTAAATATGAAATTTTGGCTGCCTGCGGGGGCATTTGTGGCTTTATGACACATCTAGTTCTTTAAAATATTTGAAAATGTTTGGTTGGCAGTCTTGTTAAAAGAGTTGGCCATGTGTCTTAGACCAGGGATTTATCAGTACCTTATCAGGGGTCGAAATTCGGCCCCATTCCCAATTGAAAATGAGTTCAGTTTTTCCCAATATGGCAGTATTTTTTCCCAATTGGTGAACAATGTTTTTATATTTAATTATCTTGGAAAAACACAAGGAAAATTGTCAGATTGTCTGTAATTTTCATCTATTTAAGTCATTTAGCAAAGGTACAGTCATAACACGTTTAAAAACACTGTAAAAACATCGCCAACTTTTTATCTGAATTTCCTCCATTTTTCTGAAAATGGTGATATTGTGAAATTATATAGATTTATTAAGTTATGTCTACCTACTCAATTGATCTACGAGTGAATGGTAAGGACTGTAGGCATTATTTCAAATAGAAAAATATATTTTCAATCCATTAATACATATTAAAAGAGGACTTTGAGAAAATGTATACCGGTACTTGCAGAAGGTTTATATTTTCCAGAAACAGATTCTGTAATGACCTAAATTGGAATCTCATACACACATGTACTACCCTAAGTTGTATTATAAACACTTTATACTCATTGAAGTCAATTTTACTTTTATTAGTCTGTTATTCATAATTGATTTTGTATGAAGTTGGATCATATGTAATTGTCTGTTTGTTTGCCCAAATTAGAGTTCATGCTGAAATGTTAAATAAATTACACCTGAATACACGATTTAAGCAACATTTTTAATTTTTTCCAATTTCATCAAAAAGCCGATAATTCTTTCCCAATTCCCCAAAAATGACATTTCCCAAAATAGGCTGATAAATCCATGGTCTTATCAACACTGATGACATAAGTCAAAAAGACAATTTTTTTCACAAAACTGAAGTCAAATATTTAGTTAGGGCATGTAAAAATTGGTAGAGACGTTGTTAATGTAGTAGACGCAAGATGTGAAGACTGTGTCAGTTTTACTTTATGTATTCTTTAATGTTTATTATTTTTATATTGAATAGCAAAGAAGAAATTTAATGAACCAGTTAATCCTGAATTAGTGATAACAGAAAGACAATCTTACTGGTGTCCAAAATGCGACATAAAATTTAACAGGTAAAAGATATATCCTAGATTATTGTTGTTGTTATTAATATCGTACAACTATTTGCATACCATTGAGGAAGCACTGATTAGAAACCTGTTTGTTTAATAAAGGGAGGCCACATTAAGGAGACATGTAGAATATGTGCATGATCAGTCTGGGGAGTACACCACTTCTATGGGGGATGGCTCTGATGGGGAGGAGAAGAGGGAGGCTGAGGAAGAGAATAAACCAGATGTCCAAGAGGACTCAGACCCCACCGATGCAGATTTCAATATCAAGGAGGAGCTTCGTGTGACACTCAAAAGCAGCACAAAAGAAGTACAAGTGGAACACATCCCTCTCCAAACTGCAGACAAGGGAGACCGGCCTTATGCATGCAGTATATGTGGTAACAGATTTAAAGAGGTGATGCTTTTGTTTGTTAGATGTCATTGATAAAGGTTGTGGAGATGAATTTTGTGACTTGATTTCTATAAGCATGTGTTGTCAGTCAAATATTCTTCTTAATCATCCTTGATGCATGAGTTAAATTTTGACATTGGATATTGATTTTATATTCCAGGCACCTGTGTTAAGGGCTCACTTGCTGACTCACTCATCCACAAGAGATTTTCCTTGTACCATAGAGGGATGTAACTATGCATTCAAAACCAAAGGGTCCTTAAAGAGACACATGAGGCGACACACAGGTTTATAAATTATGTATATTGATGTTTTGTAGGAGAATGTTAACAAATATTAACCATTAGTGAAATGCCTACTGCTCTCAGATGTATGAATTAAACAACAATTAAAAATCTCAAAGCAAAATGAGATATGAATACATTGTAAGCAGCATTTTATCCAATGAAATATATAGTAACTTTCTGGAAATATGAAAGGGCTATGTTACATCAGGAGACACTTTATAACCGAGTACATTACAAAAGATGTTTACTGTAAATAGATTTCAATTTTTGCTGCATGTGAGGAAAAGTAACCAAGTCCCCGATGATCAGTAATTTGGGCTCTAACATGAAACTAGAAGTGCAGATAGAAAAACAAAATTTTGTTAATCTTAAAATGATGTACATGTGGAAGTATTTACCGGTACTAACCTGTATTTCTATTTTGTCTTGAAATGTTGTAGATATAGAAATATTTAGTTCTCTTTCATTTCAGTTTTATTTTAATTTACTCGTATTTCATTAGGTGAACGCCCATTTAAGTGTGATGAATGTGGAAGAACTTTTACAGAATCTGGAGCACTTACAAGACATTTAAAATCAAGGTAATTTTATGTTTATATCAAGTGCTAGACTGCACACATTTGATATAACACACACTATGCAAGCTTAACTGATTTTGAAGTTATGAACACTGAATACTGTACACGTACATAAAGTAACACATTCAAAATTAAGCACAATATTTCTTATTAACTGATATCTTAATCATGAATTTAAGTGCACTTGGAACCAATCTCCTATTTGTTTTAATCATAAATTAGCATGTACTTGAATTAGCGGACAAGAATTACAAAAGGTGCTGAAATATGTTTACCCGCCAAATTATATAAGTTTACATTACTGCAGAGCTGTGGAAAACTTTTTCAGATAGCCAGTCATTCGGACTGGCAAGAAGACAAAATAAGCCGGTCCGATGTGATTTTTGCCGGTCCAAAATAGTAAATCGCAAAATAAAAAAAGCATAACAATTACTCACTTCATTACACATCTACTAGTATTTACTTAATAATAATATAACATTCAGTCTCCATTTCCAAGTCCTCTTTCGTTTTCATATTTTGCATTTATAACAGTACTAGATTTCACCACTTTTGGGCAGGTGACAATGCTAATTCAGCATAGAAAACGTAATTTTTTTAAACATTTATGCATTTTAGAATTATACTAACCTATAGAAAATGAGTCAAAAAATTGAAGAAATTCTTTGCATGGATAATAAAGATATCAACACGATCGATGAAAAAACTAAATCCAGGACAGTAGGAAGTACTAGATTTACTGCTTTCCCCAACTGTATTTGAATTCTTTCTGTCAGATTTTTCATGTTTAGCTTGTGTTTGTCTTTTTCTTTATGTTTTCAACCTACCGGTAATTCTGCCCCAGTTGTAAATTTAATAGGTCACGAGAACCATCATATGCTGATTTCGCTTTTATTTACAGCCTCGATCTCGTGTTACGAAAAAGTATTACACAATTGCATATAAGGTACGAAAATTAAACTGGGAACTGCTTAGATGATAAATGGAAAAACAAAAAAACTTTAACAAAAAAGGGCCGGTCATTTGGACAGACTTCGATAGCATTTTACCGGTCACACGCAATTTTTGCTGGCATGACTGACAGTTTTCCACAACTCTGTACTGTAAAGGGATTACATTTGTTGTGTATTCTATTTAGTGCCCTTAGCAGAAAGCAACTTCCACTAAATCAATTATATCGCTGAATGTCTTGTATTATCACATTCAGGAATGTGATAAGTATTAGATAGTTAAGTATTAGATAGATAAGTATTATTAGTACTTGATCAATAATACCAGCGTTATTTAATTCATTGCTGTTAAATACAGCTCTTTTCATTAAGAGGATGTGCACTTTTTCCCCATTGAAATCTGACTTTAAAATGTAACAAAATACTCTTGGATATGGATAAATGACCTTTTAATCTGTCACAGTACGATAAACTTGTGTAAAATTAAGTATAACTGATTCATTAAGTCAAAGTTTATAGTTGTATATCATTCAAAATTGGTCATATTAAATTGACCATTTTTGTATATTTTGCTCTGTAAACATTCCCCCCCCCCCCCCCAAAAAAAAAAAAAAACAACAACAACAAAAGTTTTGGTATCTAATTGCTAAATAACAATGTGTGATACCTGTTACAAGGAATTTTTGTTGGGGTGGGTTGGTGGGTGGGTTAAAAATATTCTTTTGTTTTCTACCATTCTTGAGTTTTAACAAAAATATAGAGTTATCTCTCTTTTTTTGATAATTAATTCAAATTTCATGAAAATTGATGAATATCTAAATAAGTGTATAAAAGTACATGTAATTGGAATTTCATTATGTTAACTTTGAAAATGGCCTGGAGGTAGCCAAGAATACTGTCGTTTGTCAGACAAACAATAAACATTCAGATCACAACTACATACAGACATAATGACACTGGACAAACTTGGATCAGAAAACCTTACTAATTTTCAACTCCAGTGTCCATTGACCTAAAAAGACTGTTAAAGGTCGTGAAATGTAAAACTTGACTTCTAATCTTGTTACAGTCTTATAAAAAAAAATTATAAGAGAGTATATTTTCATTAAGTTTTAGACAATTAACAAACAACTTTTATACATTCTTATTAAGAATACCATGTAAGCAGAAATCAGACCTTGATTTGCCAAGATATGGAAAGAGGTGGTCTGCTAATGCTATGTATGGACCTCAAGCAAAAGTGGAGACTAGAGTAGTGCCAGAGAAGGAGGACCAGGAACAAGAGGTGAGATCTAAATACATTGAAGATTAAACTCCAGATAACAGTGAATGTGAACAACATGGACTGTCAGACTGGGCTGGCACATTTAAACTTGGTCCGATTTCTTATACGAGTAAAACTGAACCTTATGTCCAATAGTTTCATCCAATCTTGGTCTTTTCACTTCCACTTAAAATAGGTTTCCCAAGCTTGACAAGGAGTACAACATGAATCATCATCATGTTGGTAATCGGTAAACTGGCGTTAATATAATTTCACATTCAATGGGATAACATTACTTGATTTTAAATCTTTTAACATAAACATGTATGTGTGGAAAATTATAAATATACATGTATGTTGAATTATCTATCAAGTAGCTCCTTATATGGACATGTCAAAAAACATTTCATTGTAATGAGATTACCCTTTTTGCCGTTTTGTTTGATACAAAATTAAAACTTGGTTATAGCAATGTCCCAGGGACTTGCGAATTAATTTCACTATATCTGTAGTTCGTAAATATCCATATATAAAAAGAAATTCTTTAAAAAAGTATATATAGTGAATTCATGGATTATAAACACATTTTATTTACAATATGACTACCAAATATATTCAGAAGTAGTAAATACAAAACTTACCTTGGAGAACTAAATTTTTCTGTTGAATTAAATTTCAAATATTGATACTTAGGAAAATTAATGTCAATTCAATATTTGAAATTCTGAGATGTAAAAAGTTTGTTAAAAAGATGTAAAATTTAGTATTTTTAACCCTATGTGACACAAAATCAATATGCTATATCTGTAAATTTGTTATATCAGAGTTTGTAAAACTTTTAATAAAAAATGTATGAATTTTGCCTGGGATCTGAAAAAAAAATCGCTGTTATTTTGTGTTATCCATGTTCATACTAAACAAGTTTTACTGTACATCGAGACTGACAATTAAATAGCAGGTATATATTCATAAAAACTATCATCTATGCTATGTTACTTTCCAAAATTAAAGACAAACAGTGGTAGTACATAGTAGTAGCTAATGAGGACTAGTGGTGTTCCAGTCGTCGATTATAATCGATAATCGGTCGATTGTTGGCTTAATCCAAGCACTCGATTACAAAATATTTATTCTGATGAATTGGTTTATTATTTTTTTACAAGTGTAATAGTTTTTAAGCCAAATATTCCAACCGTGACTTATCTATTAACTTATTTGTGTATCTCGATGGCGCAGATAAACAGACAATTGTATCCATTCCCGGGTAACAAAGCATGTTCCCGGGTATGGACATACTTTGGTTTCTACGAAATGGATGAAGGAGCAGCTGGACAACCACAGAAAGAAGTTATTTACCCTTTCTTACCATTTAATTAACTAAATTGATATACTTTGTAAATGTCTGATTATCAACAATAATTAGTTAGTTACAGTAACTTGATCAACGATTATGAAATTCTTACTGATTCCCATCACTTATGAGGACATGAGCTTCTAAGTTGTTTGTAAAATGAATGCACATGTAATATTTTGACAAAGAATATGAGGGTCTGGAGCTGTGGTGATGTGAACCTACAGTAGACTGATAATAACAAATAGTTCTTATAATGTCTGACTTTTTAGGATGCTGTTAAGGATATGGAGACAGAGTGTGCAGTGGCAGAGGTTATTGCATCCAATGAGAATGGGGAGGTAGGGGTTACAGTGGAGGAAATCAGTATGGATGGGGTAACCATATCTACAGATAACATCCTAGAAGAAGAAATCATCAACCCAACTCAGTGCAAAGTATGAATGAATGATTTTTTTATGGAGTTATGCTGCTCCTGGATTTTTTCATTTCATACATGTACATATATGTCAGTGTTTTTTTTTTTATTCTGTCATATTCTACAAAAAGCTTTATTAGCATACCTGTAGGTTTTGAGAGTTTATTCTGTTTATAGGTCTGTAAGGAGGACTTTCTGTCCTGTGATATTTTGAAGATTCACCTTAGAGCCCACCTGGCAGACATACCTTTCAGGTGTGGTATGTGTCATTTTGTGGCCGAGAGTCGCAGTCAGCTCAGTGATCATATGACCTCATTGCATCAGAATCAACTGAAGGTATGTAATTAATTCATAAACACGGAATGTCATTTGTATGCTGAAAGATAAAGAAAAAACTTTGTATAAACATTTATATGTAGGTTGCTCACCAGTATTAAATTTTTGCATGTATTCTTGCTATGATTGAACAAATTTAAATGAATATTTTCTGGTACTTATTTCAAACAAATGTATAGAGAGATCTCTTTCTAGACCTTGTAAAAAATATTTCTTAAACATTTTAGTGCCAGTCAATACATATATGTATTTTTAGGTCACCTGAGTCACTCAGGTGACCTATTGCTATCCGTTTTTGTCCGTCGGCGTGCGTCGTGCGATGTGCGTTAACATTTGAACATTTTCAGCTTCTTCTCTGAAACCGCTCAACCAATTTCAACCAAATTTGGCATATAGCATCTATGGGTGAAGGGGAACAAAAATTGTGAATTTCATGGTCCCTGCCCCCCTGGGGCCTGAGGGGTGGGGCTAAAACCACCAAAAATAATACAATCTTTAAATATCTTCTTCTTTACTCCTGTACGTCAAGCAGTCAAACTGTTGGCATCATTGTAATAAGCATTGAGCCCTCTACCAAAATTGTGAAATTCATGGCCCCAGGGTCAGGGGTTCTGGCCCCAGGGTGGGGCTATATAGATCATATAGTGAAAGTGCATTATTTCTTTGAAAATCTTCTTCTCTGCTCCTGGGTATTGAATAAAGTAACCAAGTACATAGTTATGAAGAGCAAGAGTGCCTTTTCCAAAATTATGAATTTCATGGCCCCAGGGTCAGGGGTTCTGGTGTTAGGGCGGGGCTCTATTGATTATATAGTGAAAATGCATTAATTCTTTGAAAATCTTCTTCTCTGCTCCTGGGTATTAAATAAAGTAACTAAGTACATAGTTATGATGAGCAAGAGTGCCTCTTCCAAAATTATGAAATTCATGGCCCCAGGGTCAGGGGTTCTGGTGTTAGGGCGGGGCTCTATTGATTATATAGTGAAAATGCATTAATTCTTTGAAAATCTTCTTCTCTGCTCCTGGGTGTTAAATAAAGTAACTAAGTACATAGTTATGATGAGCAAGAGTGCCTCTTCCAAAATTATGAAATTCATGGCCCCAGGGTCAGGGGTTCTGGTGTAAGGGCGGGGCTCTATTGATTATATAGTGAAAATGCATTATTTTTTTGAAAATCTTCTTCTCTGCTCCTGGATATTAAATAAAGTAACTAAGTACATAGTTATGATAAGCAAGAGTGCCTCTTCCAAAATTGTGAATTTCATGGCCCCAGGGTCAGGGGTTCTGGTGTTAGGGCGGGGCTCTAGTGAAAATGCATTGATTCTTTGAAAATCTTCTTCTCTGCTACTGGAGATTATTTAAACAAACTACATGTAAGTGCATGATTATGATAGGCAAAGATGCCTCTTAAAATTTTTAAATATTTGGCCTCAGTTTTTGGGGTTCTTGAGGAGGGGGGGGGGGGGGGGCTCTATTGATTATATACTGAAAAATCATTAATTCTATTAATTAATCATTGATTAATCCTGTCTGCTCCTTAGTGTTGAGCTGATAAATAAATTGCTTAGCTATGATGAAAATGGGAGCTTCAAACAGAATTTTTAAATCTTGTGGTCCTAGGGTCAGGGGTTCTGGCATAACGGGGGGGGGGGGGGGGGGGGGGGGGGGGGGGGGCTTTTGATAATATAGTAGAAAAGTTTTAATTCTTTAAAATCCATAGTTATGATGATGAGGGTAACTCTTCCAAATTTGTAAATTTCTTGACCCTTGGTCTTGGGTTCTGGTGTTAGGGTAAGGCTTTGTTGAATCTGTAGTGAAAATGCATTGTACCTGTGAAATTCTTCTCTGCTTCTGAGCATATCGGAAGCAAACTGAGTAAAAGTTTAAATGATATAAGTAAGCGTATTCCTACCAGATTTTTGAACATCTGGACCATTTTTCTAAACATTTTGGTCCTGGGCAGGGCTCTATTAATTTGTATTCTACTGAGAGAAGTTATTCCCCTTTTCCATTCACCTTTGATAATTAATCACTGTAAATAATGTAATTTGAAAGGTTAATAGAATAAGATAATTATGCAAGAATGTTTATTGTATAATTCAAAAAGTACTTTCTTAGTTTTAATAATCAGGTAGACCTATAAGTAATAGATAAATAAAAATGAGACAAAAATAACTTATCTTATTAAAAGTTCTTCAAAGACCATAAGAGAGGTCAATGCTAGAGGTTTTAATATGGGTTTAAAAATAGTACAGAAGCACTAATAGTTTGTTAATAGTCTGCATGGTGATAGTGTTAAGTGGGGGACAGATTAGAACTTAATTTATGAGTTGATGCTGAATACTAGACTAACTATTTTGTTGATCCTGATCTTCCTGCTTCTCTTGCTTTAGGGCAACAAAGCTTCATCTATCAGTGTATTTAACTTCTAAATTGTTGTATTATACTCAGGTGACCGTTAAGGCCCTTGGGCCTCTTGTTGTTGTAAGGAAGCAATGATATTATTGGAGTTGTACAGGCTGCATGAGAGTCACACAGACGACCTATTACCGCCCCTAAAATATGACATATAATACCCAACAATCAACAAACCTCCTATTTTATAAATTGTATAAAAGGGGGAGTTTCGATAAGGCCGCTTATCGGCCCACTTATTTTCATAAAAATAAATTTCGTTTTATTTTTTCAAAATTGGTTTTGAATTCAAGATATATATGTTAATTTTTGTTATTTATATTTCAAGAGCTTATATGAGATGAATTCACGCAGTAGTTGGCACATTCTTAGATGTACCCTCAAATGCTTTAACATTAGGCTAATGGGAAAATATAAGAGGGTGGCATTTATAAATCGATGGTTAGAATATGAAGTGCATGAGGAACACTCACCTAGTTTTGTTCAGTACTTAGATATACTCTGCACACTAATATCTTAAAATATGATAAGTGTCGCGTGTGCACTTCATATCCAAAAATTGAAAATTGTCTAAAATTTGCATATCTAAAATTAGAAGCTCCTGGTTACTTGATCTGACGCCGTGTAAAAATACAAAGCCAAAAGTAGCATATTTTTTCTAAACCAAAGAGAACTCTCGAAAATATTGACATAAGAAAACATAATCGTATCCTATCGTTATTTCCATACTTATTTCGTCGCCTGCGTATAACGTTAACGTCATATATTTAGCTCACATACACGAAATTGGGGGAGCTTTTGTAATACCATCGTTATAGGCGAATAGGTTATTAAAAGTTTTAATCAATTTTTTCATATCATCAGAGTCACCTGATCTAGTGTGTTTTCATGTCATCTGTCGGGTTTCAGATGCTGCATTTTCAGTTAAAGAATGTCCAGGTTAATGTTTTTAAAGCAGGTTAATGTTTATGGAGCAGTGCAGCTATAAGCACTTGTTGAGAGGACGTGCTTCATGATGCATCTTCGGATGCACACTGTCAGACTTGCTTCAGATGCTAGATCTGACTTACATTTTCTTGATGAATGCTCAGGGTATATATTTTGGAGCATGTCTCATTTTCATGTAACTATAATCCCTATCTTGAAGAAATATGCACCGATGATGCATTTAGGGTTACACATTACCAGAACTGTAACAGATGCCGGATCTTACATTTTCCAATGACTGACAGAACTAAAGAGAAGTTTAAGAATCAGTCCATTCATTGATGTTCTTTATCATGGATATGGTTATAGCCATTCCTTTGAATAGAATCGCTTCAATCTGTTAGAGAAGGTTCGCATATATTTCCGTATGGTCTACATGTAGGGAACGTAGATTACTTTTAAGACTGGATGTTGATTTGTACGTTTCTGCAGGATATGATTTAACACATACATTTGGTATTTACAAATGTATTTTAAATTGCGACTATGGTCTTGCAAATCAAATAGTGACTAGAGTTGGTGAAACAACATACGTATCAAAAGGAAGTTGGGAAGCGCGAGGAATTACATGTAGGTCCTCGCTTGCCTGGATTGTCTCATTTTTGCTGAAAACATAATGCACCTCTTTATATGCGTAAATACTTTTAAGTTTAAGAATGAATAATTTAAGTTCAAGAATGAATAGAAGACATGCACTCAATGTATTTTAGTTTTTTTTATCATTTGGCTATTTATTCACGCATTCTGTAAGCACTGCATTAGCAATAAAAGTCCACTATCGGCACACCAAGTATAACCTGGTTTCCATTAAAAATTGAAAATGCCCTATTTGAAAAGTCATTGAAGCGGAAGAAAATGCAAACTTGATCTATAACTCAAGTTTAACACATATACCATAACAAAAATCAGCTCAATATATGCGATTTTTTTTTTAGAAAAACAAAACAAAAAAAACAAAACAAAACAAAACAAAACAAAAAAACGCCGACCCCCCCCCCCCTTTTTTTTGATTTTGTAATATTCCGTCAAAAATCAATGAAGCAGAATTTAACGAAATTCAAACTTGAATTTCAAACTCTGTTTCTCTTCAGGATACACTATAAATACCAAAAGCAGCTCAATATCTGCAAGCGTTTAGAGAAAAGTGCGAAAAACCAAGTGGAACAGACTAACAAATAGACAGCTAGACGGACGGACAAACAGTCGGACAGACGATGAGTAAATCTATAGACCCCTCCAGCTTCACCGGTATGGGACTAATAATTACTATCTTGATAAAATATTTGACTGGTAGTAATACGCTTGGTATTATTAAATACAATGTACATTGCAGTATGATTCTTTTAAATATACTCTAAAAATATGAATAGCTGCATTTTTTAATCGTACCGAATTCCGAAATCTGTTAATTTCAAAATTTTTTTTTAAAATTCAATTTAATGATATTACGGTACATTTTATTAATACTATATTTAGCACAATAACTTTAGTTGATAAAAATGTGTTGCAAGCAGTGTCAAACACCTGTCAATGACAGTTTAATTTTATCTATCTCTTGTCTATATATCTTTACATTTGCTTTTCTACGTACGGGAAAATGTTATATATTGGTTATTAAGTCTAGGTATAAACTGTCGATTGATTCATTTTTTGAAAATTCCTGTCTTTATTATTCATATACGTTTTATATGTTATATTCATCCTCTTTGAAAGATAAGTTACAATTAAAACACGAGAAAAATCTTGCACCTTAAAACTCATTCAAATAAAATAAATATCATTAATTTTCTGTAAAGAAAAATATTGAAATTGGTTATTTGATGTCTTTATTCACATTTGTAATATTTCATTTATGATTTTGACGTTAAATAAACTCCATTACCCCCTTTAAATATGATCCCTCCAAAAATATAGGGAAGAGGGTATATTTAAATTTTTAATTATCACGTGACCAGATAATGTGCAGTATAATTTTTTTTCATATTTTTAGGAAGATAACACTTTAATCTACAACATATCACAATTTCAATATATTTCTTGAGGGGCCGAAAAACAGTCTTATCAAAACTCCCCCTTTGTAAGCTTACACTTTTTTCATGTCAAAAATAAAACCTGTTCCTTACAAAAGTGCCTGAATCAAAAGGGAGAATGTAGAAATTATTTTGGATTAATCATGTATTGCTTGAATCTTAAATACATGTAGCGACACCTGCATATGTGTTGCGCAAATAACTCCACATAACATTAATATTAGTGTATGTGTAATCTTGACACATGTTAAAAATTTCTTTATTGTCTTTGTAATCTTAACACATGTTTAAAATTTCTTTATTGTACATGTATTTGTAATCTTGACACATTTGAAAATTTCTTTATTGTATTTGTAATCTTAACACATGTTTAAAATTTCTTTATTGTACATGTATTTGTACTCTTGACACATTTGAAAATTTCTTTATTGTATTTGTAATCTTAACACATGTTTAAAATTTCTTTATTATACATGTATTTGTAATCTTGACACATTTGAAAATTTCTTTATTGCATTTGTAATCTTGACATATATTTAAAATTTCTTGTTGTATTTAGGGATCAGAACTCATCAGTCAGATTCCAGAAGGAACTTCAGAGACCAATCAAGACCAAAGCAGGTACATGTATAATTCCTAATAAACAGAACAGTGATATATTAAGTACACCTGTATGATATGTTAAGCATATACATTAAGTTAACAAACTGTCTAAAAATTGATTTATATTTATTTATAGTACATGTATACATGTATACATGCCCATGAATTTGTTCACAAATCCATTGTTGAATACCTTTATATTCATGTATTTTGCTGTCCATAATTCAGTTCAAGTATGACTTAAATTAAAATATGACATACCTGGTATTATTTGTAGGATTGCTCGTATTGCTGTAAATCAGTTGTTAGAACTTCCGTCCAGCCTGGAGGTGGATGAACCTGAACCCTCCATTCACAGAGCCAGAAACATCTACAAATGCCCTGTGTGTGCCCGGGCTGTAAAGAGTCAGAATTATCTCAGGCTTCACATGAAATCCCATATGGGTAAACACATCTTTGTATGAATTGCTTTTTAAAGTATTTTGGTATTGGTCTTGTCTCTAATAGTCATTATCATGAAATCAGGATGATGATGAAGTACTGAATATTTTTTATGCAAGAGAAAAGCCAGTCTGAAGTTGTATATCCTATTGTTAAATTTTTTCACCATCATTATATGTAAAGAAATATGCATGTATCATATATTCCCTGTTTCTACTGTAACTAGTGTTAAGTCATACAGTGTTTCATTGTTCAGGTGATAGACCCCACAAGTGTTCCCATTGTCAGAAGAGCTTCATCACTAAGGATACGTTGTCCAAACATCTCAGTGTCCACAATGAATCCAGGAACTTTAAATGTGGCCAGTGTGGAAAACTATTCAAGAGGATATCCCATGTCAGAGAACATCTCAAAATCCATTCTATTGACCGACCATTTATGTGTACTGTGTGCCACAAAGCATTTAAAACCAATGTTAGTGTTCAGTTAGATATCTATTTGTAATGATATTAGCATTCTTATAAAGTATAAATCAAATCTCTAACATTGTGATAAAGATGAATTTTAGTAAAATAATGTCAGTTTTATTATATTTTGTATTCAGAATGCCATGAAGGTTCATCTGAGAACTCACACCACCATTCTGCCGTATGTTTGTCCATATTGTCGTCGGAGATTCAGGGAGAAAGGGTCCCTGCTTCGACATCAGCGAATGCACACGGGGGAACGTCCATTTAAATGCCCACATTGTCACAGAGCATTTGCTGAACATGGAACTTTGAATCGCCACTTAAAGGCTAAAGGTATTACACCCACAATTAAGTCCATTTAAATGCCCACATTGTCACAGAGCATTCATGAACATTGTCACTCAAAGGTTGAAGGTATTACACCCATACAAGATAGTCCATTTAAATGCCCACATTGTCACAGAGCATTTGCTGAGCTTAACATGGAACTCTGAATTGCCACTTGAAGGCTAAAGATATATGTAAAAGGTTTTAATTTATGCCTGGGTAGGGTATTGATTTTCTTTTTCAACAGTTGATAATTACAAAGGTACAAACAATGTCATTTATAAGCATTCTCTCATTTCAGTACCCTGCAACCGACAACTTCAGGAGGCTCGAGACAAAGAAAAGAAGGAGTTCACTGTATTGGCCGAGTTCTCCTCTGTTGTGGCAGACACCCAGCAGTATATTGTAGACGAGGATTCAACACAAGAACAATCACAAGTAGGGAACTCGCTCCACTGTAACATCCAGTACCAAATCAACTTTCATTTTGAAATGTTAAAACTTTACAAAAACTTTTCTATGCAGAGTTTTAAAAAATGTCTGTTCATCTATACATGTACTGTTGAACCTCTCCAATAACAAAAACAAAAGCAAAAGGCTCAAGTGAGCTTCTCTGTTCACAATTTGTCTATTGTCCATCTGTTGCCCATTTGTGTATCAACTTTTCAAAATATTCATTTTCTCAGAACCACAGAACATATTTTAACCAAATTTGACACAAAACATCCCTGATAAAGTGGTTTAAAATTATTTCAGAAAAAGAGGTTTTGAGTTCAATATAAAAATGAGTATGTAGTAAATTTTTAAAATTCTTCTCGAGGATAGGTAGGATGTACTGTACGTGTACATAAATTGGCGTATTCATAATTGAGCGCAGTCACACGGTATGGAGTTGTTGGCAAAATCATGAATTAGCACTATACATGTCCGTACCGTATATTGTATTTATAAATGATTTCTTAGAGGTATTCATGAATTAGCGCATAGTTGTCTGCGCCAAAGCTGCTAAAATATGAAGCCCACTTTTTTAAGTACACATACAGTAATTTGTAAAATTTTCATGCAAGGATCTCAATTGTTTTACTGATTCAAGTTCATCTAAGTCATGTTCCCAGCTAGTATGGGTCTCAGCAGGGATAAATGCATTTTACATATGAATACCCATGTTTAAAGAAAACAAATTACCTAAAATCATTTCTCCACAACAGTACATGTTTGCAATAGTCAATCATTATAATTCTTTAAGGTCTTTGACTTAGTTTGGGGCCACAGAAAAGAGTCCCGTACTTTCATTTGTCTGAGAAAGATGGAGCGAAATGTGGCTAAGATATTGTACCTCGTGTTTTGCATTACTAATTTTGTATTTTGTTTGAAGGAGGATGAAGCCACAGAGTATGTTGTGGTCCAGACAGGGCTTAGTGCAGAAGACTTACAAAATGTAGAGATTATCACCGAAGGAGAGGTGGATCAAAACTTTCTGGAGGGTGTTCAAGTAACGGATGACTATGTTGTCATCACTGATTCGGGAGATAATATGAAGATTCTGAACTCTAAGACAGGAGAAACACTTGCAATGATGCCCATCTCCACAATTGATGATGGAGGTCAAATAGTGACTTTACCTGTATCAGACAATCATATAGAGGCTGTAGCCATGGCACCATCTTCTGTGGGAGAAATTGAGACTGTTACCATTGACCACTCAGATATAAACAAAATCGAGGCTGTGGCCATGAATCCAGCAGCAATGCCTGATAATCAGGATGTGGAGGAACTGGAAACTATAACATTGCTGACCTCATCAGGGGAGGATATGAGGGGGGATGGTTATGTTGGAGGAGAGATGGGAACAGAGTCGGTAGACCCAGCTCATGCTGAGGTGACATCCATCAATGAAATTGAAGCAGTGGCAATGGCACCAGATGCTGACATTGGTGATACATTACATCAAGCCATGATGGCTGCAAGTGTGGCAGATGACCATGTACATGTATAATCAAGGACAATTGTTCTGTATTGACCTGTATTTTCACTTATGAATAATGTCCCATTATTCATTGTTTTTAAAAAACCAATATTTGGTTACTTTAACAGTATATTTATTAAATTTTATTAAAGCATAAAGATCTTGATCACTATGTGAAATAATCAAGAGGATGAGGTGTTGAACCTTAAGGAATACATGTAATTTCTTGCCATATACACCAAGCCCAAAGACCATCATCTGAGAACAGACTTAAGTCAAAATTTAGATTTTGAATATTTTGTTCTTTATTTAACAAATATGTTCAGAAAGTTGCAAGTTTACAGATATTATACAAATACAAACATATGATGAAAATGTACTATTTTTAGAATTTCAAAAGTTAACCGATTTGAACTTTTTTGACTGTTCTCATTTTATGGTCTTGAAACAACGATACATGTATTTCCATCAGATAAGAAACCATGGATTTTTGCCTTTGCTCTTGTTTGTTCAAGTTTTCCAGTACAAGAACTCCACATAGCATTTTAAAAGGATGTGTTGATAATCTACAGTCATTGGACAAAAGTACCACCGATTCAAAATTACTTGTCACGCCTATTTGTAGCTACCACATGTAACTTTGTAATCCATGTATTTAACTCAGGTGATGCCCATGGTATCACATTTGCTATGTTACAGATTATTGGGGATATTACAAAGTTGAAGGGTCCATAAATTTCAGAAACAAGAAGTCTGTGAGCCAATGCTCATTAGTTTAAAGAAATACAGTAAGTTGACATTTACAAAAATTTATCCCACCATATGGCATGCCTAAACAGATTGTGCCTAAACAGATTGTGCTAAAATTTCAAATGAGTAAAATCCACCTGTGACGTCACTCTTTTGTTTGAGCGCTCCATTATTTTTCAGGAATGGAGAGTTGCAAATTACTAGGGCTGGGACGATATATCGATATTATCAATTCTGTGTGAGGATGATACGCATATCGATATGTATGAGGAAATACCGCCCAAAAAATTCTGACTTACGTTTTTCTTTGTTTACTTAACAGTTTGGGTTTAATTTATAATATAAATATGCTAAATATAAATATGAAACGCATAATAATTAACACCACTTATGTAAAATAATTTTGTTTAACAACAGATATACACCTTCTTTGAATAAATAATACTTATTTGTGAAGAAATTTTTTGTTCATTTCAATACAACAAAATTTTTTTTTTAACCAATTCAACATATTGTGATACATATCGTATCATGGCTCAAATATCGTGATACTTATTGATATTGAAAAAGCTGTATCGTCCCAGCCCTACAAATTACATTGAAAACAGAATATGTTATGTTCATATTCTCCTGCCTGTACCTCTACTGAGGAAAGAACTTAGAAAATTTTAGCAAGTTTATTTTCACATAAAGAAAATAAATGTGACACTGCTGAGAATTGAACCAGGTACCATCACCTTCGGAGGCAGGTACTCATCTCACTACACTATCGAAGCTGTTGAATGACAGCAGAATTTAAGTGACTTCAGTACACTTTTTTCGCCTTACTTTCTCTCTCTATATATAAGTAAATACTACTACTATGTTAAATGTATATATTTACAGTGTATCTTATAAATATTCTTTATTATATATTAATAAACAATAATTACAAGCATTTAAAAAGTTGGATTTTACGCGGGTTAATAAACTCGTAGGGCTCCATTCCTTGAAAGCAATGGGCCTCGGCCCCTTCGGGGCCTTGGCTCCATTATTTAAAGGAATGGAGCGCTACTCATACATTAACCCTTAAGTAGTTGTTGAGAAAACTGAGATGGCAATTCGGTAGACAGACACATGGATAAACAGGAAGTTGACATCGGATTTGTACAAAAATGAATCCCACCATATGGCATGCCTAAACAAAGAGTATGCTTAAATTTCAAGCATCTGCGAAGAGTGGTTGCTGAGAAAACTGATGAAAATTTGTTATGGAAGTTTGATACAGAGATGTATGGATAAACAGGAAGTTGATATTGGATTCTTACAAAAATCAATCCCAGGAAGCTGATATTGGATTCGTACAAAAATGAATCCCACCATATGGCATGCCTAAACAAAGGTTGTGCTAAAATTTCAAGCATCTGTGATGAGTAATTGCAGAGAAAACTGTGACAAAAATTTGTTATGGACAGACAGACAGACAAACACAGGTGAAACAGTATACCCCCCTCTCCTTTGGAGTGGGGGTAAAATTATTTCATTTTATGCGTTTAACAATGTATATAGCCACATTATACCATCTATGGATTTCTGCCTTGTAATTCACATCTTGTATATCATATTGGAAACTAGAGCAAAGGAGTATGATAGCCTGCATGGTGCAGTGCTTTGCTCTGGAGTGCAGATTTCACCCCATTGCAGGACATAAGACCAGTCTTTGGATGAGATCTTGTCACAGTAGATGCTGGCATAAAAAAAAAACATGTTCATATTTTAATAGAGTAAATATTTTAACAGGAAAGGAGAAAATTTATGGCTGGTCCGGGAATCATACCTGGGACCCCTGCATTTCTAATCAGTTACCCAGATTGGATATCCAAGGTCTGTATAGCCCAAAACATGAACAGAAATAATGTACTTGAAATACAGTAAATGTACCTTTTGAAATACAATATCTTATATTTGTAACCATCACAGTGAGCATTAGTATTAGTTGTAGAAAGGCAATCAAAACTAGAAAGTTCCTAAAATTTCAGAGTTGTGGATGCTTAATATTCTGTTCTTACAATAGGAATCTGCAAATCCTTGGCCAATAACTGCATTTCTCTGCATACAAGGGAGAGTATGGATAAATCACAAAATTAACACTTATTCATGTTCAGATAGATGAACAAGTCATTTCAAGATGTGCAATAAGTGTGAAAAATTGCTCAAAAATCAGTTTAATGCACAGTTTTTCAAAAATACTTTATTTACAACTTCACTTTTGTAGTCTCATGAATTTCACATAACTGGAATCCATCAAACCCATAACATTTGTTTGAAAAAAAATACATGTATATCATTTTTAAAAAAAAATTCAAATCAGAATTTTACGTTACCAAATCCAAATTTTGGTAGACCAAAACATGAATTACAGAAAAAAGGGTTTATATAAAATGGAGACTTCTTATACATGTCAACAACATTAAAATGCATTGCTCTAATAATTAATGTCACGAACAATGCACCAACACTGATACAAGGAAAGGAAGTCGCTCTCCACTTGGTGAATCCTACAACAGAATACACAAATAATCCTGTCCATGAAGAAGCACTGAATTATTGATATCTACTGAATCCTGCCAGAAAAAAAGCATATAACTAAAGGTCAACTTCTGTTCTATATCACCATACTGAGAGTTTTAGAAAAATGCAACACAATATCATCCCTGAAATGTTTAACTTGATTCTCCAGTTATAAGGAAGGATCCCGAAATCTGACAGCTTGCTCTCGAACTCGTCGCTCATACTCCACACGATTTTGACTGAAAAAATCATGCAGACATATTATTTATGGAGTGTGTACCGGTACATCATGTCACTTAAAAGAAATAAAAAAATAATGACAATCAATTCTACACTTAATATATAAAATTCTTAATATAGAAAAAAAAAATGAAAATACGTTTTCCACATCAATTTTTCTTTTTAGAAACAAAAGCATAATTATCTAATATCACAAGTTTTAACCAACACCAAGAGTTGCATATACATGTAGCATGGATACATCTAACTTTGAAGACATAAGGGTTCATATCTCAGCATTTCTATTTTATAGCATTAAATGGTCAATTTTCAAGGAGATTGATATTGGAACATTATTATTAGGAATGAAGTAAGACTGGTGGCCAGATGCAAACTGACAGGAAACCTACCATCCCCTCTGGTTTCACCAGTAGGGGGCTTAATAAGAATTAAGTTATTTACCAATATATGGTGTATGGGACTTACAAAGTTATTTACCAATGTATGGTGTAGGAGACTTATAAGAATAAGGTTATATAATAAATACATGTATATGGTTGTTACATGTATATAATAAATACATGTATATGGTGTAGGGGACATAAGAATGAAGTTATTTACCAATATATGGTGTATGGGACTTATGAAGTTATTTACCAATGTATGGTGTAGGAGACTTATAAGAATAAAGTTATTTATCAATACGTGGTGTTGGGGACTTATAATAATAAAGATATTTACCAATATATGGTGTAAGCCTCTGCTTGTGCTGGATCCTTGACATTAGGCTCATTTAACAGTTCTTGGATACCCAATAAAATCTTAAGGAAAAAAACAAACAAAAAATATAGGAATTTTATTTTCTCTAGCTTTTCACTTAAACATTCGAAGAAAAATTATTTATGTTAACTCTTGGCTTCTATAACAGAACACTGCGAGTTGATGTCTCTGTACGACAAGAATTCTCACCTGTTTAATTGTGACGGCTGGACGCCAGTCTTTTTCCTCATCCAGTAGAGACAGACACACTGTGCCTGAGGGGTACACATTGGGGTGGAACAGTGGAGGCTCAAACTTGCCTACAAACAAGATTTTCATGTTTACAACAGGCATGGGGTAATCGTAATCGAGTAATTGTAATCAACTGTAATGATTACTTATTTTTAAGTATTCGACAGTAATCTGTAATTGAAGAGATTTTCAATTACTTGTATGTGTAAACTTTACAACTCTGTAAAACCCTAAAAATTACCCCACAAGACTGTCATATTTCTTCCAAAACAATGAAATAATTTTACACTACTCACTTTCTAAGTACAATGTATGAAAGCTAGTATACATTGTATATGTTTTTATACTGATGATGGCTTACATTTTGGAGGTGAGCTGGGGTAATCTTCCTTAAATAACATTCTGAGTTTGTATAATCCTCCTTCCCATGGGGTCTGCAAAACATATACATGTATATATCTGTATTACAGTGGGGCTACAAACCATCTACTTTCACATTTTACAAAGGACAAGGTATGGCTGAATCTGGCCCCTTATTTGGTGTAAAAATCAGAACACAGTTAAAATTGTGATAGTTTGTAGTTAAGAACTTAAAATGATGCTTGTTTTAAAACCAGCACTAATTTTGATTCAAAGCTTACACGGAGGCCACAAGAGGGTGCAGAAGTAGGACATTTTCCCAAATTTCCTCAATTCTGGTCGAATTTCGTCAAATTTGAGACACTTTTCACTTCGAGAAACATAGAGCACAAGCTTGCCTATCTGAGATTTTTATACATAAGATGCACCTGATACTAGTGTATGAAATATATAAATTTGGAACCAATACTCATTTTGAGGCAGGGGTGACAACAGGTTTTTAATTGATAAACTATTGTATCATTCTCAAAGACACCCCAAACCAGGGGCCAAAAAGGGGTCTTAGCCTATCTTGTCCTTTGACATCACTTATGTATTGTTGTACTGAAATTCATTTTGCCTCTCTGGTCATTTCTTTAAAAGAAAATGGTTTAAAAAAAGAGAGAAAGATCAATTTATTACAATATACTAGTATCCCTTTAAATTGACCCTCCCTCCTTTAAAAAATATCATTCAAGGTTAATTAATGAAACTTAACTACTATAAATGTAATTGTACTTCATAGAAAGCTGTACTTACTCCCTTTTTGCCAGGTATTGCACACTCCCAATTCAATAAATTCAAAGTTCCATCAGGATTTTTTGTTGGTCTCGCAACAAAGCCCTACAATAAAGAATATTGACTTTTTGTGATAAAATCGCAATTTGTACTTGTTCCACTTAATAAAAGCAATTCTAAAGAATCAAAAACACTCTACACATGTATTCTCTATTAATATCTTACAAATGGATGATCCTTGCGCCAGGCTTTGCGTTCTTCACTCAGTCTTCCAATGGCTATTCCTGACATTTTCACCTAAATCAAATTGCATTACTTATCAATGAACAATTTAAAATTTTACAAATGCTAGCAAAAGTTAATCCCTGATTAACAAACAATCAAAGATACTTTTTGTTTATCTGTATGAAATATTTTCATAAACTTGGTGAAAGTAAAACTAGAGATGTTTCAGTGTTATGCTAATGCTCCCAATGAAGCACAAGTTTTTAATATTTGAAAGTCCAAGAATGAGAGAATAATGAGTGGAAATGAAACAAAATTGCAATACACTGCTACTTTTGTTTTCTTGAATCAGATATCAATACCTCACAGTACTTAAGCTGCATGAAAATGGTGATCAACTAAAAGAACAGCAAACAAGAGGCCCATGGGCCTTGAATCGCTCTTCTGATAAACTGTGCAACCTATCACTTCTATTTGAACCCTCGAAGTATCCTGTATATTTAGATAAACCCTTGAAATTCCAATTCACACTCTGAGAACCCAAGATGATTCTAAGCCAATTAGTACCTGAGAGTTGGTCATGGTGACCCACTTATCACTTGTCATTGTCTGAGGACCCATCAACTAAGTTTGATGATTCTAAGCCAATTAATACCTAAAATATTTTTTAAAATTATAACCATAAAATTTTATAAGTAGGTCAAAGTGACCTACTTTTCAATTGTTGTACTCCAAGGACCCAAGATGCATCAATTGACAAAGTTTGATGATTTTAAGCCAATTAGTACCTGAAATATTTAATTAAAGCCATAAATTTTCAAAAGTAGGTCACAGTGACCTACTTTTCAGTTGCTGTACTCTGAGGACCAAAGATACATCGACTGACAAAGTTTGATGATTCTAAGCCAATAAGTACCGAAAATATTTAATTAAAGCCATAAATTTTCAAAAGTAGGTCATAGTGACCTACTTTTCAGTCAATCTACTCCGAGGACCAAAGATGCATCAACTGACAAATTTTGACGATTCTAAGCCAAATAATTCCTGAAAATATTAAATACAGCCATAAAATTTCAAAAGTAGGTCACCGTGACCTACTTTTCAGTTGTCGTTCTCCAAGGACCCAAGATGCATCAACTGACAAAGTTTGATGATTCTAAGCCAAAAAGTTCCCAAAATATTTAATTAAAGCCATAAATTTTTAAAAGTAGGTCACCGTGACTTACTTTTCAGTTGTTGTACTCCGAGGACCCAAGACCCATCAACTGACAAAGTTTAATGATTCTAAGCCAATTAGTATCTGAAATATTTAATTATAGTCATATAAATTGAAAAGTAGGTCACGATGACCTACTTTTCAGTTGACCTTTTTTGAGGACCCAAGATGCATCAACTTACAAAGTTTTATGATCATAAAACTAAAAATGTCCAAATTATGCTTCTAAAACGCTTTGAAATCAAATGCCTGCAAAGTTCAAAAAGTAGGTCACTGTGACCTACTTTTTAATAAATATGTTTTATGGCCCCAAGATGCATCATCTTACAAGATTTAATGATTCTAAACCTCTCAGTATTCGAATTAATGACCTTAATCGTTTTGAGAAAGATAAGCCATAAAATTCAAAAAGTAGGTCAAGGTGACCTACTTTTTAGTTGACATACTTCGAGGACCTAAGATACATAAACTGACAAAGTTTGATGATCATAGGCCTTAAATTGTTCAAAATATGCCTCTAAATCATTTTGAAAAAGAATGGCCGCAAAATTTAAAAAGTAGGTCACCATGACCTACTTTTGAGTCAACATGATATGAGGTCCTTAGATGCATCAACTGACAAGATTTGATGATCCTATTCCTTACAGTAAGCAAAATATCAACATTTTAATAAAATGTAATTTTTGGTCAACTTTGAAGTGACCTTGAGACCACGCCTTTTGCCCCAGGGTAAATCCCCGTGCAAATTTTAATCTACAACATATCCTCATTCTTTTGTGTAAGTTTGGTGATAATCTGCCCAGTGGTTCTTGAGAAGAAGATTTTTTAGCAACCAGTACTTTTGTTTCTATTTTCCTAATTATCTCCCCTTGTTAAAGGGTCACAACCCCAGTTTTAGTATAAAAGGGAGCCCTTGGGCCAAGGATACCTTGTGACAAATTTGACAATAATTGGCCAAGGGGTTCTTGAGTTATGGCCCATATTCTAAAAAGTTTACGCACACCGCACGCCGCACAAATGGCCATAGCATTAGCTCTTTGAGCCTTTGGCTCAGAAGAGCTAAAAAAGAAAGTCCAGAATTTTTTTTTTAATTTCAAAGTCTAAAGGCAATAATTTTGATGAAAACGGGACAATTAACATGAAATCTGATCTGATCTTGATCTTTAAGTTCTCAACATTGACCATAAGTGGGGGTGCCTGAAATTGAGTTAGGTACCTTGTGGTAAAAATAAGTAGGGGGTGCCTTACCTACAAGTGCCTGTGCCATGGACTGCTAAAATTTGTTGATAACAAAACATTGTTTAAGAAAAACGAGTTTTTAATTTTTAGTAAATATTTTATTATATGCCGAACACGTTAGAATTCCCGAAAATTACATGTATTTCAACATAGAAAATCTGCCATGCAAGTGTAGGAATTTAGGCTGGACTGAGGATATCGGCCTGGATAGCTCAGTGGTTAGAGCACCTGACTAGTAATGCAGGGCTCCCGGGTTCGATTCCCAGTCCAGCCATACGTTTTTCATTATATATATATTTATGAATTTTCAATGTATATGAACTCATTCCTCCTTTCCATACTACACAAGTATGAAGTGGTATGAAGAATATCAATAGAAAATCGAGAGAGTCGGAAGTACTAAGATTTACCGCCTGCCTTTTACAATAACTGTAACAGGAAAGGAGAAAATGCATTTCCATTGTACTCAAATTTACCACCGATCGTACTTGCTTATTCACAACAATTCTGAAGACTAAACTGGAGACGACACTTCTGACTTCTCAAAATCAAGTTCCTCAATGAAATCAATGAGAAATAAATCTTTTGAATTGTTTGTGACAGACTATGTCTGTATTCATTCCTTTACAAACAATATTCACTGGCAAAATTGTAGAACCAATATCTTTACCTTCTCATGTGGGTTTTTTCAAGATTTTCGCTCAATAATAGTCACGTGACTAATAAGCAAGGTTCTTTTGATGTTTGTATCTACTAATAATTCGTACAATTTTACGGAAAAAGCTTCTTTTTTCTTTACCCTTTAAATCTTGATATTATTATTTAGATTTATTTTTACACTTATCTCAAAAAAGTATATTTTAATTTGAAAGATTAAAATATATGACGCACCCGTAAAGTAAATTTCACAGAGATTTAATTCAAGACATGAAATATATTAGGTTCGAGTTACTTTTGTAAAATCGCATATGCGACTAAGATTATTTGCCAACATGGATGCGCCCATGTCATTAGAAGAATGTAAAGAAAATGCTGTTAAAATAGTGAATAGCAAGTTTGAGAGCGACATTAAATCGTTATCAGACTTAAAGTCATTTTATTCAGAAACCAAAGCAACTGCAGAGGCATTAGAAAGCCGAGTATGCAATTTCTTTTTGTATTAATTTAGTTTGACGTATGCCTTCAAAGTGTGCCAGATGTTTCTTTTCAAAACATTTAAACGATCTGTAGATTGTTTCTTGTTACAGTGTCTATCATCAGATCTTATTTCAATTTCAATTTTTGGCAACATCTCTTATCAGACCAATAACTCATAGTACCTATAATTTATATACATTGTACAGGTCCATTACAATCTGACTTTGTTTTATCTAAATTAATTTAGATATACTTTCAGCTATATAATATAACTTCATCAAGTTTTTTAAATAGCTATTTTCCTATTATATCTATGTAACATCCCCTTTTTTTATATTGTAAACTATTCTAAAAGCAATCCAAAAAAAAAGAAGAATAATATGAAATACTGTATAGCTGTTTTGAACACTTTTAAGTAAAAGATGTGTTTTCTTTGTTTCCATGGTTAAGTTAACTGGTTGACCTTGTGTACAGTGATTTTTTTGAGTTTGTTGACCTTAACTCTCTTATTAATCAGAATTGCTCTCTTTTATAATTTCATCCTTGTGATATATGATGACTGGTCACAAATCAATTGCATGCATGTGGTAATTTTCAGACCCAAATACTGTACAAGAATCTTGAAAATACTGGAATTTAGGTGAAAATACTGTAATACACTGCTAATCAGAAAACTACAAAATATCGAGAAAAAAAATCATTGTAAGAAGATCATATTTATTACTAAATTGCAAATCAACAAGTCACCCCTCGTGGCGCAGTGGTTAGAGTGTCTGCTCTAGAGTCAGGTTCAAATCCCACTGTGGGAGACCGGACCTTTGGATGAGACCGTATAAACCGAGGCCCCATGTCGCAGTAGGTACTGGCACAAAAAAGATCCCTCACTGCTCAATGGCCCTGAATGCCAGGTATAGGTTAAAATTTGCAGCTCTCCACTGGCAAGTGGTGATGTCTCCATATGAGTGAAAAATTCTCGAGAGGGATGTTAAACAACAAACAAAAAAATCAACAAATATATACTTGTATGTAGTGTTATTACTTAATAACCTTTTTTTATATTCACACAATCTCAAGGGTCAATTTAGAATTTTGCCCTGTGTGAAGTGTACCTTGCAAGAGTCTGTCTCTAGTCAGTTCGCATTTTTCACATGGTACAAAAGCATCTCTCTGACTCTGTGCTAGAATGGACAATACTTCAGAACAAATAAGTTAAGGATTGAATTTCATGTCATTGTTACAAAGAGTTGCTCTGATTTGTGTTGTTTTCTCTTCTATTGTCTTTCTACTGTCAAATTCTAAAAAAGTTATAATTGAAACTCCCTCCATAAAATAATTCAACCTAAGAGAATTTTTGATACATTTTAATTACTGTGTAATTATCTCAGGAAATGGTTTACACCTTCAATTTTGATGTTTTGTTTACATTAACCAGTACAGTAAATCACAGGTCAAACACGACTTGCTGTGTAATGAGAATGAAAATTGCAGAAAAATGGCAGCTTGTGGTAACAATTCAAAATATGGGACAAATTTTCATTTCCCGTGACATTTTGTGTACAGCCTGTACATACATGTATCACATGTATGCAATTGGTTTATGTGGAATTTGAGACATGACTCTTTGTACAATTATTCTTTCCTGCTTTTTTATCAGCTTGCTCTTACTGAATGGGATATTCCTCCTGAAGTGGATGAGGCACTGAAAAATGCAGAAGATGCACAGACCTCAATAAAATCCCTCCAGAAAAAGAGCGATTCTCTACATGGTGAAGTCTTAGATCATTGTAAAGCACTGAAGAATCTGGTGGATGATCTGACTCCTCTCGTTAATCAGATAGATGAACTCAAGAAGTACAGACACTACTTATCATGTGTGTCTCACATAGAAAACATCAGGCAAGTATTTATGTTGCTTTACCAAAGGAAACATAAAATGGATCAAAAAACAAAACAAACTAAAACCAAAAAAGCTTTGATATGTTATTTTATCTAAGATGCCCTGTTCTGTAGTATTCAGATTCACTCAGCCCTGACAGCCAATAGAACAGCTGTTGCAGTGGAGGAATTCTGTTCCATGTCAGAGTACTATTTACAGAAACAGAATTCACAATGTCAGAATCTTCTACAGTTCCTCAAAGAAACAATCATGTTCTGGTACAACATACTCAAAGAAAAACTATCAAGGTACAAGTTTTTCTTTGATTTTTATGCATGTAAATTTGATAGATAAATTATGGATTGAAAAATGTTATGTATTTGAATTTGTTTCTAACACAGTTTTACTATGATATGTATTATTAAAATATACACTACTCTTGGGCCTATGGTTTAAATTAAGAAAAGTTTATACAGTGTTTATATATTTGTTTTTTTTTTTAAATAGAATTTTTGTTTTCAAAATTTCTTAAACTTATGGTTTGATTGATCCAGCCATTTCATTTTTATGTTAATTTTCAGTTTGTTGGAGGAGAGTTTGAAGGTGGTAGGGTGGCCATTAATAGCTACAGCAGTGAAGACTCCCCCAACCCCTTCAGACCCATCACTTAATATGGATGCCATCTTCCTACAACTACTTCTTTTACAATTACCGTATCCTTGCTGCAAATAGATGACCAATTGACATAAACAGCTATATTGAATTATAATAATGCATGGTTGTTATATATTAAATCAGCTTTGTCCATGAAAGTGGCAGAAGAGTACCTTTTCAATCATACTGTATCTTTGTTCATCTCTTAACGATATTTGTGATAGAGTCATAAATATATATATAGATGTCAATGAAATTTTATTGTATAATGTATGCTCTGAGGAAGGACAGTGTATGCTGGAGCAACTGAATCAAGTAAGACTGAAGCTGTAATAATTACAGTTGAACTTTGGTATCTCAAACACTGATATCTTGAATACCATGGATATGTTGAAGTGATTTGGAAGTCCCAACCCTTTATTCTTGAAGTATTTTACCCTGTATATCTCGAACTCTCGGATATCTCAAAGTTTTATCTCGGTCCCATTGAGTTGGAGATAACGAGGTTTGACTGTATTTCATTTCTTATATAGTAAGGTAACGCTAGGGAAGTTTGGTCGGTGAATTCAGCACTTTCTCAGTGCCCTCCCCTAGTTGACATAACTATCATAAACTCTCAGACAATGCAGGCCATGTTGTAAATTTAATTATTGTTCATTAATATTGGAAGAAAGATTTCTTAATAATATGAAAGAGATCCATTGAGTGTGGAAGTCGAGAAGAAGACACTGAATTTCATGTCTCAGGATTTTTTTTTTAAGCCTTTACTCCTGCCAATTCAACATTTAGTTACTCCTCTGCACAAGCGATTTAAATTCCACTTTTATGGAAATAAACAAACAAATAACTGGGAAAAGGTAAAAAAAAGTTTATATCTTCATTTCATAAGAATTTTAAAAAATATGCCATCAAGTGAATTCAATTTTCATTAATTTAATATTGAGGGATGGGTTTATTTACAGCCAGAGTGGTACTTTGGCCAAATGTTAAACTGGATAAGGGACCACTCCTCATTCTTAGACCAGAGAATTCAACCCCTATTGGAAATTGCTGGACTTTATGCAGTTGATGCAAAGGTTACAGATTAAATATTTTTGAAAGAATTTTTGCTACTGAAATGACCATGTACTCAAATCTTATTGCGTTATATGTTTAATGTTGACAGGTGGAGTTTATGCGGGGCCTGGTAGTGCTGGTGATGGAGAAGATGGCCTCTGACCTTCCTACCATCATGGAGGATGAGCACCTGTTCTGCCACCTAGTGGATGAGGCCATTTTCTTTGATCATGAGCTTCATCAGGTCTATGACTATCCTGCAGGTCTGAACAGTAGCATGGATCTCCTGACAGTGCCTAAAGTGTTTCAACGATGGATTGAAATTGAAAAGAAGTGTAAGATATCGCTAAAAGTGTGTATGTTAGGGCTTTCAAAAAGATTTTTAAAAAACGGGTGGTACTCTTACAAAAGTAGGAAGTACTTTGTGGAAGCAATTTTAATTAAATATGTTATCAAATTTTTCTCCAGCAAATATTTTTGCCAATACAATCATGATTTCAGCCAGATAAAAGTACTGGGCACTGGTAGATTTTGAAAGGTCTGATATGTTATTACTTTGTCTGTCTTCCTCTCTGTGAATGTTAAGCAGTATTTATATTTTATATTTGGAAGTTCTCGACAACTAACACTGTAGTTGTTTGTTCATTACAGTTGCGATAGAGAAGATGGATGCTTTGCTATCTTCTCCAACTGCATGGGAGTCCCAGTATAAAAACATAGCAGACATTGACACACTAAAGGTCCCAGAGTGTGGGGAGAGCTTCATCACTCTCATGTCCACCATTACTGGTAAGTTAATACTTAATATAAAAACATAGCAGACATTGACACATTAAAGGTCCCAGAGTGTGGGGAGAGCTTTCTCATTCTCATGACCACCATTACTGGTAAGTTAACCCTCATTATAAAAACATAGCAGACATTGACACACTAAAGGTCCCAGAGTGTGGGGAGAGCATCATCACTCTCATGTCCACCATTACTGGTAAGTTAACCCTCATTATAAAAACATAGCAGACATTGACACACTTAAGGTCCCAGAGTGTGGGGAGAGCTTCATCACTCTCATGTCCACCATTACTGGTAAGTTAACCCCCAGTATAAAAACATAGCAGACATTGACACATTAAAGGTCCCAGAGTGTGGGGAGAGCTTCATCACTCTCATGTCCACCATTACTGGTAAGTTAATACTTAATATAAAAACATAGCAGACATTGACACATTAAAGGTCCCAGAGTGTGGGGAGAGCTTTCTCATTCTCATGACCACCATTACTGGTAAGTTAACCCTCATTATAAAAACATAGCAGACATTGACACACTAAAAGTCCCAGAGTGTGGGGAGAGCATCATCACTCTCATGTCCACCATTACTGGTAAGTTAACCCTCATTATAAAAACATAGCAGACATTGACACACTTAAGGTCCCAGAGTGTGGGGAGAGCTTCATCACTCTCATGTCCACCATTACTGGTAAGTTAACCCTCAGTATAAAAACATAGCAGACATTGACACATTAAAGGTCCCAGAGTGTGGGGAGAGCTTCATCACTCTCATGTCCACCATTACTAGTAAGTTAACACTCAGTATGAAAACATAGCAAACATTGACACACTTAAGGTCCCAGTGTGTGGGGAGAGCTTCATCACTCTCATGTCCACCATTACTGGTAAGTTAACACTCAGTATGAAAACATAGCAAACATTGACACACTAAAGGTCCAAGTGTGTGGGGAGAGCTTCATCACTCTCATGGCCACCATTACTGGTAAGTTAACCCACATTATAAAAACATAGCAAACATTGACACACTAAAGGTCCCAGTGTGTGGGGAGAGCTTCATCACTCTCATGTCCACCATTACTGGTAAGTTAACACTCAGTATGAAAACATAGCAAACATTGACACACTAAAGGTCCCAGTGTGTGGGGAGAGCTTCATCACTCTCATGTCCACCATTACTGGTAAGTTAACACTCATTATAAAAACATAGCAAACATTGACACACTAAAGGTCCCAGTGTGTGGGGAGAGCTTCATCACTCTCATGTCCACCATTACTGGTAAGTTAACACTCAGTATGAAAACATAGCAAACATTGACACACTAAAGGTCCCAGTGTGTGGGGAGAGCTTCATCACTCTCATGTCTACCATTACCGGTAAGTTCACAAAGAAAGAAGGTCATAGAAATATCATTGGTAAGTCACCAAAATGTACAGATATCTTCAGCAATAATATGAATAATAGTGTACATGGAAATATGTTACATATAACTAGTAAGTTAACAAACGATCACAGGATCAAGAACACATGTACCATTTCTAGAACATGGAGAGTAATGCATATACTGAGCTAAAGAAAGTCCTGTAGAAATGTAATTTTCACTTATTTACCTTCAGTACTACTATTAGTACTTGTTACATGTATAAGGATTTTGGATTAACTTGTAATTATCATTGTTAACATTTCCTAACCAATCTCTGTGTATAAAAGAGGAATATAAGTACATGTAGAACATTGCAGACATGGACATTGTTGTAATTACAAATTTCTCATACTTTATTTTATGCTCAATAACAAAATGTAGGAACTTTTTACAGACAGATACAAGTACTTGCCATCTCCAGACCACAGACTGAAGTTTCTCAGCATGCAGCTGGAGTTGCTGGAAGACTTCCGAATCCGTCTGGTCCAAGTGATGAAAGAAGTTACCCATAATTCTCTAGGGGACACTTTTTGTGCCATTTTAAATGCTGTCCATTACATAACAGAGGTCCTGGGGGAGTGGTGTAATACTACAGTAAGTAAATACACATACTGTAAACCAACTTTAAATCACGTGTGAAAAATATCCGCGAGTTTCACCATCCTACTTAAACTCGTGAATATTAATTGCCATGAACCATTTATTTGGCTTTGTATTTGTAAAGAATATTTCCTCAGTCATGAAAATCAATTGCCGTGGATTGATTTCAAATTGACAAATCATGAATAGAAGATGACGCCAATAATAGTTTGTTCACAGTTTATGTCATAGTTAATTGTGATTTAGAGTTGTGTACATGTATTTGACTGATTTAATTGTGGTTTGTAAATGAAGATAAGACTTACTGTTTATGATGCTTATACAGTGTTAAGCTGTTAAAAGACTCCATTGAATGCACTTGTTGCTGTAGACTACTCTTACATTCCAATGTTGAACTGTAATTAAAAATTTCATTTCAACTGGCAGTTTTTTGTGGAGCTACAATACCACAGTGCTACACGTCCTGTTGAAATAACACCCGATTCCAGTGAGCAGGAAAATAAAAAGGTAAATTATATGTTTGCATAAATTTATCAAAATCGTATAGGGTATATACATGTATAAACAATTTAAACAGTACCATGTTTTCTACCATTAGATGACAAAGCACCTTTCATATAGTTTTCACCTTTCATATATTGTAGATACCTGTAAAAGGGGGAGGGGGAGGGTTCACAGCTGACAGGAGTGTGTTTGATGAAGGGATAGACTTGTTTGACAAGTTAAAGGTAGAAATGGAGAAGAACATCCTCAATCATGCCTTCCTAGATGTTCAGGCTAGATCCCAACCATACAGGAAAATGAAGTGAGTCTTGTTGCTTTTTATAAAACACAATCTGATAAAAATTATACGGTCTATAACTTTGCATAAAATTGCTTCTTTTGAATACATAAAACAATGCCTGTGTTTGGTTCTAATGCTACATTTATTCTGAAGAAACTTTAACACAAAGAAGAACTTTCCAGTGCTCTTCAAATCGTAACAAGTTGATTTTAGTTTCAGAAATATAAAAAAAAAATTCCTTTAAATTATACCTATTCACAAGAGATATGCCATGTGTGGGTTATTCAAGATCTTTCAAAAATAAATGTACATGAAATCTTTCATCTTTGCAAGCCGGGGTTTTAAGTCCACTTTGCTCCCCATAAACCTTGTCATACATGTATTATGCCAATAAAACTGGGGCCAATATTTTATTCCTTCCAAGCTAGACCATTGGAATAACTTTCATGTTGTTATGTAATCTGTAAAAACAACAGACAATCATCTATAAATGATCTGCTACTTTGTGTTCTTGTACTCATATAAACATTAGATCTTCACTTCATCTCTATTCTTATCTGTTGATAAACATTAAATTACTTCTGGTAGTTCTATCTCTGCTTTCACGTATCTCCATCTCTTGTTTACAATGAATACTTGACTACAATTTGCTAGAATCAAGAGTTAAAAATTTAGTACATCTAGAAGATGTCACTGATGTAGGCCACAGTTTTAGTTATGTAATCTTCCAAGGGTTTGCGGGGAGTGAAGTGGACCAAAAACCATTGGCTTGCAAAGATTGAAATTTTCATTTGTTAATATGATCCTGTGATGCATGATCTTGCAAAAATGATTTTATCATCAATCCAATCACTTCATTTACATGAAGCAAACTTGTATTCTGATGTTGTTTGTAGATGGAAAACTCTTGAGGACTCTCCCGATCTGTCACTTTCCATGCCCGCCTGTGAAATGTTGATGGTTCTGAGGGACCATCTCACAACAATGAACAGAAAACTTAGCAAACCAATATTTGTCAAAATGTGGAGAAAGCTAGCAGAAAAAATGAGCAAGTTTATGTTGGATGAGGTATTGATGATTGTTTTAATAACTTGTATCACTAAGAATACTGTATACAGGGAAAATTTCATCCCCTTTTATTTTCGCCCCTTTAACCCTTGTTGCAAGTGAGTGAACTTAAAAAGGGCAAATTCAAAGAAGTCAATGTTATTTTTTTTTTAACACAGCTGTCTAGGCAAATTTAAAATGGGGTAAAATCGTTTGCAAGAGTGAAATGGGCAAAAATAACAGGGAAAATAACCCTGTATACAGTATATTATCTGGAAATTATAAATGTACCAGGTATGTACCATCTATTTAAGAAGATCAAAGATTATTTTAATACTGTAATCCACTTTTATTTAGCTCACTATAAAGGTAAGGGAACTGTTTAATCAAAATTAATTCATCTATTGTCTACATGAGGCTTGTATGTCAGTGTTAAACTCTTCACATTTCAAAAATAGAGAGTAGTGGGACCAATTGGCTCTTGTTTTCCCTTTAAATATGCCTATTTTGAATTCACTGTACTTTGTTTGTTGTTCACGATTGTTAAATATCATAGTGTGTCTTTACAGGTGGTTCTACAAAACAGATTCAGTGAGGCTGGAGCTAAACAGCTTGAGTTTGATATGACTAGGAACTTGTTTCCTCTGTTTGGAGAGTACACCACAAAACCACAGAATTACTTCAGACAGTAGGTTCCTTTATTTATTATGACTGTTTTAACTTTAATGTTTGAAAAAAAATGTCTGTTTCTGTATTATGAGGGACTCTAAATCGATAAAACAGTAAAAAAAAAAAAATATAACAAGTCGCAGTAGTTAATATACACCCCCATGTTTACTTCAGAATAAATGAGGCCTGTGTGTTGCTGTGTTTAAGAGTGGGATCCGCACTTCTACTGCGTGAGGTATTAATGTCTGATGACAGCATTCCTGAGAAAGAGCAAGCATTACAAGATGTCGCCGTGTATAAACTGCCACCACAGGTGGCACTCAATGTTCTCAACTCTCGGACCAACTTATCTGTGACGTGATCTTTGATAACTGTGTATTAATATTCAGTAGGGACGCAAATACTAAAATTTAAGTCTTTCAGTATACTCCTAATGTACAGTGTACATTTTGTGAAGTTTTACCAACAATATATGCTTTATTTAATATATACATTATTAGGTCACCTGAGTCACTCAGGTGACCTATTGCTATCTGTTTTTGTCTGTGACCATCATGCCCTGGTCGTAAACTTTGAATATTTTTGGTTTCTTCTAGTGAACCACTAAACTAGTTTTAACCAATTTTGGTATATAGCATCTATGGGCAGAGGGGAACATAATTTGTGAATTTTCATGATCTCGGCCTCCTTGGGGCTTGAGGGTGGTATCAAAATTAATGTAATCTTTAAAAATCATATTCTTTACTCTTGGACATAAAGCAGTCATACTGTTGGCATGATTATAATAAGCAATAAGCTTTTTACCATACTTGTGAAATTCATGGTCCCAGGGTCAAGGGTTCTGGTGTTTAGGTGGGGCTCTTTGAAAGTGCATAAATTGTTTAAAAATCTTCTCTACAGGCCTCAACATTAACGTTTGTCCAATTGTTCATGTTCAGTTCATGTTGTGATCAGACAAGTCAATCTCCTCAAGCACTTGTCCGATCAGACAATTACATCAAAAAATGTAGCTCAGTTGAATTGGCTTCATTTTTAAAAAAAATAACAAAGGAACATAAATCAGTTATCATTATTTACAAATAATAAAATCCTTTTTGTGAAACTCTTCTACCATTATAAGAGAAGTGTAAATAGCCACAGAATTCATACCACACTTAGATTTTTTAAAAAGCAAACATCTATATCACTTTTCTATTATACTCCATCATACCTCAAAGAACAATATGGCTAATTGATGGAATGAATGTGGTATCAGTGATATTTTTATTTTCATGATCCAACAAATATTTACATCAGTATTTTTTATCGCTACTTCAGTCTTAATACAGTTAAATAATTTTCTTTATCTCTGTTCAGAATTGGACAGGTAAAAATGCATTCAAACAAGTAATATTTGTTGGCAACCTTATGATGGACAAGTGGATATTTTAGTTAATGCTAAGCCATGCTCTACCCCTGTATATTTACCAGACAAAGTAAGTGCATGGTTATGATGAGGATGGGTACCTCAGCCAAAATTGTAAAATTCATGGCCTCTGGGGTAGGGTTAGGGTGTTGGCTCTATCGATCATATAGTGAAAATGCATTTACTTTTTGAAAATCTTTGAGAAGTTATTCCCCTTTGAATATTCACCTATGATAATTTATCAATGTAATTAATGGCTTAGAAAGGTCGTTTGAATAAAAGTTTTAAATGGTCAAGTAGACTTGTAAACAATAAATAAATAGAAAAGAGACAAAGATATCTTCTTTTTAAAAAAAAAACAGAAAAGGCCAGTTTTTGGCAAATACAGTGGGTTTAGTGTTGGTACACTGTAGTTCACACTGAAGCACTATTGTATTCAGACAAATTGGAGTAAATGTATTAAGCACTGTTATACATTGTACATGTGAGGAAAAGAGATCTACTTTTCTACTTTCAGAGTTGTTCCCAGTCTAACTGTTTTGTTGATACTTGATTGCTCTATTTCTCATGTTTTTGAGCAGTTGCAATGTACTTGTATCTTCCTCTATCAGTTTTGCTTTATTTTAAGAGGAGTTGCGCAGAAAAAAACCAGGACTGATGCACTGACTGACAGACAGGTCAAAAACATTATACCTCACACAACTTGTTGTGTGGGGTATAATAAACTTTCTGGAACATAGCCCAAGAGCCCCAGGGCCAATATTTATTAAATTAGCAGGTAATTTCAGTTTATATATTTTTGGTTTTCCATGTACCCTATGTGGCAATCAAAATGTAGGAGTTGGGGAGGTATTAAAACGTTTATGGCTATTCATACACAAATGTGGGGGTTTTGTAACATATTTTGCACACTGTTAGGAAAAGGATCATCAGTTGATGCATCATGAAGCTTGAGGTCTGTCAATCCAAAAAAGTAGGTCATAAAGTGCTGCTTCTGAATTTTGACAGCTTATCATTTTCAAATAATTCTAAGTAAATATCTTGCACATGCTGAGCCCCACATTCGGTATTAAAATGTTTATGGCTATTCATACACAAATGTGGGGGTTTTGTAACATATTTTGCACACTGTTAGGAAAAGGATCATCAGTTGATGCATCATGAAGCTTGAGGTCTGTCAATCCAAAAAAGTAGGTCATAAAGTGCTGATTCTGAATTTTGACAGCTTATCATTTTTAAATAATTCTAAGTAAATATCTTGCACATGCTGAGCCCCACATTCATCAAATATTATTAGTTATGTCTTTTGGAGCTTTGGGGCAAGTTAAATTAAAAGTTCACAGTAAGCTTTTGGAATATTTAGCTATTATTCTTCAACAAATCACAAATGTCATAAAACAAAATTATCAATAACTTTTAAGTTTTCTCTAATTTAGACTGCTCTCACTAGGAAAAGGATCAGGGAATCTTTCAAATGTAATGCAAATTGGTGGGACAAAAGTTTTCTACCTCATAATTTTTCTAATGCATGAAGTGCAAATGGAAGAGGAGTATCATTCAGTTGTGATGTCATAAGACACTTCTGTTGATGTGGAAATCTAGCATCTTTGATTCTCTATATAGAAGTTTTAAAATCTGCTGTAGGAGAATAGAAATAATTCAACATTGGAGGAATTGTTGGAGAATATACCCTGATTGCTGAGATCTTGTTAGAAAATAAAAACCTTGCCCTTCAGGCTTAATTCTTATTTCCGAACAATTCATCCAATGAGGGACTTAAAAATTCAAATTATTGAATCTGGTGACCACAGTATATTTGTCAGGAAGAGGTGTTGCAGGTGAGCCATGTGGCCAATGGGCCCTCTTTTGATAAAAAAAGGAAGGTGTTAGAAAGCTGACTTGTCTTTAATTTGAGTTTGTAAAAACCAACAGGGATGCATTAAGAAGAACAAGAAGCATGTTTTATTTTGAAACCTGCTTTATAAAATACTAAAAAATAGCATTTAATGTACATGTATATGATATATTTAGGCAAAACAATGTTGAAAAACTTGCACATTCACACCTTCCACAATATTGCACCAAATAATTTAAGTACAAAGGAAAAAACGGAAGGGCTAAAGATCATGGTAAGCCAAAATCACATTAATATGTATACAGAAAATTTCTCAGATAATTTCAACCCTGTAGATAAAATGAGTACATGTATCACAATTCATGTAACTCCCTGATATCTTGGTACATCAAAGACACTTACCTCTGTAACAATGCCAGCATTTCACTATAGTACACACTGTTCTTTTCTTAAAATTACTCTTGTCATTTGATTGAAATATTTTACCGTATATTGGGATATTTTGGCATCCTGAATATTTGGCAAATTTGATATCAGGAAGGAGTTTAGAATATTGGTGTTTTATAACATGGCAAATTTTCTTTTTTTTTCTTTTAAATGAATATAATCAGATAAATACACATTTGCATGAATAAACTTTATAGAAATGTTGGCGCTTTTTTTGACGATCTGCCAAAAAAGGTAACTTTTGCAAAGCACCAAAATTACCCAATATACAGTATTTTATAGTCACAACACGTAGAGTACTGGGATATTACAGGTCTCTTATTCTGTCACTCTTCAAGTATCTAACCTCTCAAAAAAGACAATCACCTCTTCCAGAAGTTTACATATAAAATCAGGTTAGTGAATATGTAAGTAACAGTTCATACCAGGAAACCAGTCTCACTTTCCTTTCATTGAAAAATAAAAATCAAATAAACTGACTGTCTCCAGTCGATTATAACTAGGTATTGGTGGTCTCATGGATTTCTCTGCAAAAATATGGATACTGATCTACTTATTTCCTGATCAGGTATTGCAAAGTATGGGATATAAAAATGAACAACAATGAAGGCAAAAAAAACTGTCAATGCTATTATAAAATATGTACCGCCCTGGAACGAAAAAACATTGAGAACAAAAAACATCAAAACAATAATTACCAAAACAGCACTCACAAATCAAGTCAGGATTATTAAAATATTCATTAAAAAGTAGAGACAATTCTTTAAGTATTTTACATTACAATGTTTTTAATATGAACATGGTTTTGAGTACCAAAATTTAGATGTCATGCTGTCAGATTGAGACATGAAAAATTCTGGATTTCCTTATGCAAGAAAACGTTTATAAACAAAAATAATAAATAGATTTAAAAAGACATTTTGTAATTAGTCATGAATCAATTGCTTAAACACAAAATCAAATTCATCAGTGCTCTAAAAGACATTTTAACTGCATCTTTGATGAAACAAGACAGTTAATATACAGGGTGTTCCAGAAAACATGCAACCATTTTGAAATACTATTCTGGTGGGATTTTAGTTAAATGAACACCTTATATAAAATACATATTATTTAAAAATATACATAGATTTCTTTTAAAGACAAACAAGTAATGAAATATAAATAATTTGTTCATAGCTCTGATGTAAAAAAAAAAAAAAAAAAAAAACGCAAAGAAAAAAGAAAATATTTATAATATGATGTGCATGCCATTGTTAAAAAAATACAATCTTTTAATTTAGAAATTGTCTTTTAAACATGTGCACTGTATATACTCAGGGTAATTTTTACCTCATGTTATTTTTGTCCAATCACAATCGATTTCAGTCCATTTTAAAATTGTCTAAAAACAGTTCTGTTAAAAGAGAGGCAGCCCTCATCACCCGTGGGAGAAAGGGGCAAAAAAAAAACAAGGGCAAAAAGTATAGTGCCCTTTCCCAGTATTTTGCCTACTATCATGTTTAAATTGAAATTTCCTGTTACACGTACTACAAATAGATATAATTTACAATATTGAAATATTTTGGATGTTTTTAAATGGGTTATCTTGTAGGCAATGTCGTATACTAAGTGCGCTATATCTTTTTCCATGTTTCTGTATCAAATACACATTTTTACACATAATTTTACTAGTGAATGAAATGAGATACCAGTTGAAGGGGTATTTTAAGTTTGGTTTATCATCAAATGTACATTTAGGCAGATGGACATATGAGAATGCCTTCCTTCTTGAATAAATAATAACTTGAATTATTGTATTAACTGGCATCACAAGACATTCACTGACAAAGGAGATGGGCGAACATAGCGTGCAGAAAGCCTATAGCTTCAGATATATAAAAATCATGTTCAGTTTGTGAATTTAGCATTTAGAGTAAAGTTCTCATTATTGAAATTTACAAAACTATGATAAACAACACTTTTCTGAGGAAAATTTTCTCGACAAAATTTATTCTTTTATTTAAAAAATAATGTGGTATTCGTGAGGCTCGAACCCTAGCAATAAAAATCCTGAGGATCATTTTCTTTCAAGACTAGTGCGCTAACCACTAGACTACACAAGTCCTGATGAACAGTGGCATTTAAATCATGTTTGTGATATGACCCTTGACTTAATGGACTTCAAGTATTTCTCGAAAAGATGCGAATGTTATGTCATAAAAGTATATTTTTAAGGTATAGTGGGTCTTTGCTCCATATTTTTGTTGACCAAAAAATGTTTAATTTTATGCAAACTATGAAGATTAACTTTCAAAAAAATGGAGCGAAGACCCACTCATATCGAAAAATAGTGTAATAGCATGAGAAAATGACTCTTTTTGGCATCTTTAGGGTGTGTATAATATTTCATAAGCAAATAATTTCAATCTTTGTGAGATTTTTGCCAATTGTAGAGATTTTACATAAAGTATATTTTAATGTTAGATGACATATCAAGGAAAATTTTGATATAATTGAGATTTAATTTTTCACCTTCATGTTTGTCACACTATAGGCTTTTTGCTCGTCATGTTCACCCATCTTCTTATGGGGTATAGTTTAGTTTCTGTCACTTGTCATCTCTTTTGTGAAATAGGTTAATTGTTGATATTAATGATTTAAACAAATTGCCTAGTCAGTATTATGCTGTTTGTTTATTTATTCTTGAAGCCATACAGCTTATCAGAGCATGTACATGCTGATCTTTGAGCTTTGTATATTAAGATTTCAGAAGGAGGTAAAATGTTTTAATAGGTAACTTAAATAATGTGCCTTATATTTTATAATGCATAATGTAATTTACTTTGCAATAAATAATTTTTTTTAAATTAGAAATATAAAAAAAATAGTGATTTGAGCTTTTTTAGCACCTGTGAAATACATTTAAAAAGATGTATTGGAGTTAATATGTTAGTTAGTTTTCCTTTCATAGACCTCAACAATCTCAGACTAAAATTTTACTACAAAACATTATAAGCTTAACAACACATTAAAATGTGTTAAAGAACGAACACAGGGTATAAAAAGACTGCCTATGAAAAAGTTTATAAACTAACATAGGTGTCGGAAATCACAGCCAGCAAGAACTTCAAAACATGACATTCTACACACCAATAACAGAACCTTCAACAAAATATAAATATACCTATTGTAAAAGTTCATAAAACAATAAGGACAGATGCTTATGCTTCTTTGTTAATATTGATCTCATCTACCTCTTGTCCTATTAAGTAGAGGTTGATAGCATAATAATGGAACATTGTACCAACCAGAACAAACAGATGCCAGATAGCATGAGCAAATGGAATTACTCCATCACTCTTAAAGAACACAACACCTAGTACAAATGTAATGCCTCCTAGAAATAGCTCGTAAATCCCAGATGGTTCTCTCTGAAACAATAAAAGATTTATTGTAAAGAAATTATTAACTGTTGAGATACATTGAGAATTCAGAAGTTCTAAACTTGGTCAGGTCTTACCATTAAGAAAGCCACAGCTGCAGGGCAGACACCAATGATTAAGTAGAGAACAATCTCCAATACCTTGTACCTGGAAATGACTGATTCATTGTATTTAGGGTATAAAAAAAAATTTCTCTGGTAATTAACATTTATACATAAAAAAAAAAATATTGAAATTTATACTCTTTACAATTTCTTCATGTAATTGTAACGGCCCCAAAACAATGGGCATTCTTGGAGAGTTATTCGAAGGCACCTGATACATGATTGGTTGTTTTTGTGGAGCTAAAATTTACTATGCACCCAATGACAAAATGGAGCTCAATATTTGGATTTAAAATGCCAACCACATTGTTACTAGTGTTGAAGTGAGTCATGTGCTGATATATTGTACAATTTTTTATTATTGATAAACAATTTTTTTTTCAGGATTAACTGTCCAGTTTTTTGGTTCTATGATGTGATCAAACAGTTTACATGATAATATGAGTAAATGTCAAAGGCATTTATGCATAAAATTATCACTTGAGCAAACTTTTTGATCACCATCATAAAACAAAACCAGAAGTCTCTGAATGAGACTGTAGCTCTACTGGCTGGTGTGTACTTATAATAAAAAAAAGATGTATCTTAGTAGTCTACTGTGTACCAAGTCTTACTGAAATGTCCAAAACTGTAGGAGTAGTAATGTTTTGAAAAAATTCACAGAAATTTCTATTTATACTAATACATGGCAACATTGATCATTTAAATCAAAAACCGCCTAAGTCAAGTCTACTTATGTACTAAATCTTACAGAAATTGTATTTAAACTGTAGGAGAAATTGCATAGAAACGGTAATTCTATTTTCAGTAATCATGGCAACACCATATGTCATAATCAAAAACTAATAAAGAGAATTACGCATCTTTGTGTAGTCTACATGTGTACCAAGTCTTACTGAAATTGAACAAAAACTGTAAGAGAAGTAGCTTTTGAAAGAAATTCACAGCAAAATAATGTCCGCTAAACAGTTAATTATTAGGAATCTTCAAAGTCTAAGGGCCATAATTTTTGTAAAATTGGGTCAATAAATATTCAAACTTAAACTTGATCTGCAAGTCTTCAATATCAATTAAGACATATACAAAAAAATCAGCTCATTATCTATTTAAAACACAGCAAAAAAAGTCTGGAAAACAAACTAGAACTGTCCAAAAGGGACAAATACCCCCCGCCGGGTTTTTCAGAGAAGGTACCAAATCACTAATATTTTCTAGATGTGAGAGGTGTTCACAATTTGCTTTAAATTTATAGTGAAAATTTACTCATATTTTTTTAATGAATGAAATTAAGGTGCAGCCTAATAAAACATCAATACTCATAATTACAGTGTTTTTTATTACATTGAAAAAATAGTTCGCAACTATCTGTCATCTTTGTGAGACATGACATTCTGCAAATTGATTGTTGAAAAAAAAATTATCATAATTAATTATACAAAATCAAATTGATCTTAATACCTTTATATCAAACTCATTTTAAAAATAAAAGGCTGGTTCCAGTAACTATGTATTTTGACAGATATAAATTACAATTAAGAGACTTAGAAACAGAGATCTTTATTTCTTTCTGCCCAATTCCCAGGAGATATAGATAAGACCTGCTTGATCAGAGATGCCCTAACAGCTTCCCACACTGAACTCATTAATTAATCTTTAACTGGATGCATGTCCACTCATTACTCCCAAGGGACAAATGGATTTACACTATCTGCTGTGTAATGTAAAAACTGTTTTTAATACTTTGTGATTTTTTTTTAGTTCTAATGAGTTGTTTTAAGCTGTAGTTCACATTTTTTGTACAGATGTTCTAGATTCTATGTCTCAAACCTTAGACATGAACCCGAAATGACTAAGTCAATAATTAAAAATGAAAAAAAAAAAAACCGTAAAATGCAGAAAAATTATCAAATAATGTTGAAAATACCAGGTGCACATCTTCATATGGTAAATAATAAGTGTACAAATTTTCTTACAAATCTATGCAATAGTCTCTGGGAACAGATCCAGACAAAACCACATAATAAAAATGAAAAAAACACCTGTAAAATGCAAAAAGAATTATCCAATCATGATGAAAATACCAGGTGCACACCTTCATATGGCAAATAATAAGTGTACAAATTTTCAGACAAATCCTTGCAATAGTTTCCAAGAAATGGTCCGGACAAAATCTCGTCTACAGACAGACGGACAGACAGACAGACAGACGGACAAGCTGATTCCAATATACCCCCCCTCAACTTCGTTTGCGGGGGGTATAATGATGACGGAATGACAAATGTGGAATGATGGGCTGAAAAAGGTAACACGATATGCCCCGCCCATTTCATGATGGGGTCATAAAAGTAAGATATTTACATTATTTTTATTCAATAGTTCAAAATTGAAGTCTGAAAGCCCTGCTAAGTGTATTACTAATCCACACACAGCGAGGCACTTCTGGTACATGATGAGCAAATGGTTTTATGAGGATATAAAGCTATTTGTTTGCTAAATTTCTATTTTATTTCAGACAAAGACTGTCATTGTAAATATTTCAGTATGTCAACGTGTATGTTCAATATGTATGTTCTTGTTGATATTTTCTTACTTCTCATGAAAGGTGTAGGAGTAAATGATTCCACAGACTGCCATTATCCAAATAAGCCACATCATTTCATCCTCAATTCCTCCAAAATCTCGTAAAGTCAACCTACAATTTTAATACAGTTTTATTGACTGTATTTATTATACAAGAGGCCCATGGGCCACATCGCTCACCTGAGCACATTGGCTAGGCAAAAGCACAATCAGTTCAGTATTGAAAAGACCGGTGGGGGGGGGGGGGGGGGGGGGGAGGGGGAGCTGAATTTTAAACTATCTGATGATGCTTCCATGTCAATATAACAAATGGCTTTGTACTTGAGAAGATTTTAAAAAAAAAATTCCCATATATTCCTTTGTAAAAATTTGATCCCCCATTGTGGCTCATCCCTATCCCAGGGGTCATCATTTGAACAAACTTGAATCTACACTACCTGAGGATGCTTCCATATCAATATGACTAAACATAGCTTTTCTGTTCTTGAGAAGAAATATTTTTTCTATATGTTCTTATGTAAAACTTTCCATCCCCCATTGGGCCCCACCCTACCCCTGGGGGTCATCATTTGAACAAAATTGAATCTACACTACCTGAGGATGCTTCCATATCAATATGACTAAACATAGCTTTTCTGTTCGTCAGAAGAAGATATTTTCCTTTATATTTCTATGTAAAACTTTGATTCTCCATTGTGGCTCCGCCCTACCCCCGGGGGTCATGGTTTGAACAAACTTGAATCTACACTACCTGAGGATGCTTCCATATCAATATGACTAAACATAGCTTTTCTGTTCTTGAGAAGAAATATTTTTTCTATATGTTCTTATGTAAAACTTTCCATCCCCCATTGGGCCCCACCCTACCCCTGGGGGTCATCATTTGAACAAAATTGAATCTACACTACCTGAGGATGCTTCCATATCAATATGACTAAACATAGCTTTTCTGTTCGTCAGAAGAAGATATTTTCCTTTATATTTCTATGTAAAACTTTGATTCTCCATTGTGGCTCCGCCCTACCCCCGGGGGTCATGGTTTGAACAAACTTGAATCTACACTACCTGAGGATGCTTCCATATCAATATGACTAAACATAGCTTTTCTGTTCTTGAGAAGAAATATTTTTTCTATATGTTCTTATGTAAAACCTTCCATCCCCCATTGGGCCCCACCCTACCCCTGGGGGTCATCATTTGAACAAAATTGAATCTACACTACCTGAGGATGCTTCCATATCAAAATGACTAATCATGGTTTGCAGTTCTTCAGAAGAAGATATTTTCCTATATATTTCTATGTAAAACTTTGATCCTCCATTGTGGCCCCGCCCTACCCCCGGGAATCATGATTTGAACAAACTTGAATCTACACTACCTGAGGATGCTTCCATATAAATATGACTCATCATGGCTTTGCTGTTCTTGAGAAGAAGATTTTTAAAGATTTTTCCTATATATTTCTATGTAAAACTTTGATCCTCAATTGCGGTCCCGTCCTACCCCCGGGAATCATGATTTGAACAAACTTGAATCTACACTACCTGAGGATGCTTCCATATAAATATGACTCATCATGGCTTTGCTGTTCTTGAGAAGAAGATTTTTAAAGATTTTTCCTATATATTTCTATGTTAAACTTTGATCCTCCATTGCGGCCCCGCCCTACCCCCGCGGGCCATGGTTTGAACAAATTTGAATCTACACTACCTGAGGATGCTTCCATATAAATATGACTCATCATGGCTTTGCTGTTCTTGAGAAGAAGATTTTTAAAGATTTTTCCTATATATTTCTATGTAAAACTTTGATCCTCCATTGTGGCCCCGCCCTACCCCCGGGGGTCATGATTTGAACAAACTTGAATCTACACTACCTGAGGATGCTTCCATATAAATATGACTCATCATGGCTTTGCTGTTCTTGAGAAGAAGATTTTTAAAGATTTTTCCAATATATTTCTATGTAAAACTTTGATCCTCCATTGTGGCCCCACCCTACCCCCGGGGGTCATGATTTGAACAAACTTGAATCTACACTACCTGAGGATGCTTCCATATAAATATGACTCATCATGGCTTTGCTGTCCTTGAGAAGAAGATTTTTAAAGATTTTTCCTATATATTTCTACGTAAAACTTTGATCCTCCATTGCGGCCCCGCCCTACCCCCGGGGGTCATGATTTGAACAAACTTGAATCTACACTACCTGAGGATGCTTCCATATAAATATGACTCATCATGGCTTTGCTGTTCTTGAGAAGAAGATTTTTAAAGATTTTTCCTATATATTTCTATGTAAAACTTTGATCCTCCATTGCAGCCCCACCCTACCCCCGGGGGTCATGATTTGAACAAACTTGAATGTACACTACCTAAGGATGCTTCCACATGAGTTTCATCTTTCCTGGCCCTATGGTTCTTGAGAAGAAGATTTTTAAATGATGCCATTATTTTTTCAGTAATCCCTAATTATCTCCCCTTTAAAGAGGGCGTGGCCCTTCATTTGAACAAACTTGAATCCCCTTTACCCAAGGATACTTTGTGGCAAGTTTGGTTGAAATTGGCCCAGTGGTTCTTGAGAAGAAGTCGAAAATGTGAAAAGTTTACAGACAGACGGACAGACAGACGGACGCCGGACAAAATGTGATCAGAAAAGCTCACTTGAGCTTTCAGCTCAGGTGAGCTAATAAAATGGTAACATATTTCATCTAAATGTCACCTGTATTCACCTCTCACACAATGTCTGTTATCTTCTGGATTATCACTTACCAGGGAGAATAAGAGGAGGCAATAAATATATATATCACAGCTCTGTCAGCAACATGGAAGAAATGCCTCAGCTTACTGAAAAGAAGGTAAACAAACATTAATATTTCCCGTACATGATTAATTGTAATAGCATTCATAATCTCTAAAACAAAACAAAGTACAGCATTATAGTCAAAGCTACAATATTAACGTAACCTTTATCATTCAAATGTACTCTGTATTTTTTCTCCAGAGCAATATTACATTCCAAAGATGTAACATACATTTTTAAGAATTATGTATTTATTATTGCATATGAATGTTTATGCCTTTTACAATGATACAATTTTGAGAAATAGCAAATAAACTAAATCAGCTGAGTTCTCCAAAATGACAATGTCCAAGCTTAATACAATAGCTGAGAAAGACTACCACAAAAAAATAACATTGCCAAAACTTTAGAATCATTTTTAAACAATTTTATACATGCTCAAAGCTCTAAATTTTTTAGATGACTATTTCCAACCATTTCTTATTCCAGCCCAAAGAAGTGATTTTGTTGTTTTTTTCCTTTTTTTATTTATTTACTTTACTTTATTTTTTTTTGGGGGGGGGGGTTTGATTTGTTATGGGTTTTTTTGTTTTTTGTTTGTTAGTTTTGTTTTCTTTCTTTTTTTTCCCCATTAAAAAAAACTGTGACAAAGTAATAAAAAGTGCATTGACAATATCAAACTTGAGAAAATTAGTTTGATGGTTCAACTGAACTTTCTACTCTATGAGTGGCACCTCATACATTACCTTTTCAGTTACAATACAGCTAGAGTAAAATACAAAATTTTTGAAAATCAAAATATACATATTAGTACTCATGACTAATATACTGATGCAAATTCTTTATTTTCAGTGTTAAGACAGCGGAACATTAACTGGCAAAATTGGAAATATGTAGCTTACGTCATTTTCAGCATTTAATGATAGACAATGAAATGGGCGGGTCCAATTCGACACGGACGTCTGCGAAAACATTGGATTGAAATTGCAATTTGAAATTCATTTTCAATCCCCCTCAGCTACGCTAGAACGCACAGTGTTACTGATTGACACTGAAGACAAATAATTTGAAATACATATAAATCAGAATTTTCTATCCCATGTTTTTAAAGAAATATAAAGGGACAAATATTTGACTTCTGTTTGGTATGTGTGTGTTGGGGTTGGAGAGGGGAGGCTGAACGATCTTGGAAATGAATAAGAACGTTTTATTTTAGTTTGTACAACCCCTCCCTGTTTTTGTTTGTCAAACATTTTTCAGAGAAGAAAAAACTAAAAAATAAAAGCTCTTGTCATCCTAGAAATTAATATATTCTTCATGTGAAGGCATGATCTGACTCGACAATTTTTGACAGCCCCCCCCCCCTTCTAGAATCAAATGGCCGTCCCCTGAAAAAATAATCTCTGTATTCTAGGACTTTGACGTGTCCTTAAAATTATAGGCTAAAAAACTCACAATAAATATGAATTTCAAACAATATGTATTTGGGAATTGAATTTATTTGTCTTTTGAATCATACATTCACACTTAAGGTTTGAAAACAGCTCAGATGGATTGAAATTGAATTTCAAATTTTTTTCAGTGAAGATGAAAATAAATAATGTCTTTTGTCATCCTACAAATATTTAATATATTCTTTCATGTGAGACATAACCATAAATAATCTGATTCGACAAAATTTGCCAGCCTCCCCCCCCCCCACCCCCCCCCCAACTTCTAGAATCAAATGGTCTTCCCATAAAAGAATATACATGTGGCTATATCTTCTATAACTTTTGTTTGTCCTCAAAATAGAAAATTGTTATACTTTAATTTCAAACTATACGTATTTGGGAACTGAAATTATTTGTCGTTTTGATCATACATTATAACTTTGCGAAAAATAGCTCAGGTGGATTGAAAATAAATTTCGAATTGCAATTTCAATCCAATGTTTTCGCAGACGTCTGTGTCAAATTGTACCCGCCCATTTCATTGTATATCATCAAGTGTTTGACTGCGACATATGGAAATGACGTAAGTTGCATATTTCCAATTTTGCCAGTTAATGTTCCGCAGTCTTAACTCATCAAATACAGACGGGGTCAGATCTACATTTTTTACTAGGTGTTAAAATACTTATTCTGAATAAAATAAAGGTATTAAAGACTATAGATGACTTTCCAAATCTTAAGTTATCTCCCTTTGTCAGCATTACGAACATATTTCTCATGTATATTCTTTGTACCTTACCTGTAATAGGTTTAAACTTTCAAAAGCTTTTGGATTTGGATAATTATGTATCCTCTCTTTATTGCCATAATATGGGGCAACATAAAAAACATAAGGTATATATATATATATATATATATATATATATATATATATATATATATATATATATATATATATATATATATATATATATATATATATATATATATATATATAATGCCATAAAGTTGATAATGTTATAGACAGGGTTATCGAATCAATCAATTTTTAGTAACTGGTTACTCGTCTGACTTTCTGATCGAGCATTATTCAAGGAAAATTCACAATTCAAACCCATATATCTTCATGATTATATGTTGTTCTTTATGAATAAATGTAATTCAGGATTTAAAAGCCAAAGTTTATTATGACAAACATTTTGATTTAATGAAACTTTGGAGTGAATTGCTATATTCATCTTCTCAAATATTCGCAACTGCATGTAATCCATAACTATCATGTCAAGTATATCATTTGTATTATATCATCAGATTGCATGCCTGACAAATAAATTTTTAAATATTATTTAGCCTCCCATGTTAGTAAATCCAGTTTTACATACTTGACATTTTATAGATTTAGAATTGCTGGTTCATTTAAAATATTTTCATACTTAGGAAGATTAAGCACTTTTGCTACTAAAAAAAATGCTATAATTCATAGCGGCACACTGATTCCTGAAAGTACAATGTGTTTGACAAATATGTAACAATAACAATGTCACTGCATGATTTTTTCCCCCAAGTTTTTGGGAACTGATTTTAGTATTCAATACTCAGATGTTTCTATGGGTCCTCAAGTAACTGGTTACTAGTTGACAACCCTGTTTATCAAGTGAAAATACCATGGTTGACCTAGACTGACCCAACAAAGGGAAATAACACTTATAAATGTGAAAATCAATTATTCACAAGGCCCATTATGTAATCATACACTGAGTTTATATGGCACCTAACAATACATGTACTGTATCTACATGTATATATTAAAATGCTCATATATGCATTTTTGACACATTACAAATAAAGTTCTATAATATTAGTCTGCTTATCTGTTAACTATTAAATTCTATTAAAACAGGTGATAACATTTCTTACTGAAATCTTCCTGAGAATGCCAAGGTATGAAATGTACAGGAGACTGAGAAAAGGGCAACAAGAGCCCAGCCATACACAACAGCAATCAGAAACTGGAGGCGGGTCTGAGCAATGTACAGCATCCACAACATGGCCAGGATACTGGGGACAATGCAGCCCTGATAGATCATAGAATGCTAATAAATGTATCAACCAAAAACACTTAACATGTACTTTCATTCTTAACACTGTCCTTTAGAGAAAGAAAAATGTATTATCAACTGTCTCATACCCCGTGTGTGATTATATTTGCCATGTGTTCAACATCTGTTGGTACATATGCTTCCCCTTTCTTTGCCCTGGGATTCATCAGCCTAAGAATAAAGTCCAGACAAAAATAAACAAGCCTGACTTTGGCTCAGTAGAATTTTATATCAACATTTTGATAAATATTATATAAAAAAGAGCTATAAAACTATAAGATATTTATGAAATTAATTGTATGCTTTCAGAATGTAAATGTACAATGTACATGAATCAATGACATGAAAATGAACAAAAAGTATCAAATACACTTAAAATCATTTAAAAGTACCTCTTAAAGTCATACTGTGATGATATCCTTTTCATGGTCTTCATACTGATGAATCATTTACTGTAATATAAATTCATTTCTCAGTTCTCACATCATGGAGTAAATTACAAATATAGCAAGTACAATGTATGTGTACTTAAGAAGGTGAGAGACAATTATAGTTGAAATTCTTTTGTATGCCTGCAAAATAGTTCATTTGACATTACTGAAAAGGGCTTGATTTTTTTTCTTTTGGGTGAAAGTGAAAGGGGATGGCAACAGGAGGAAGGTAGTTGGTTCTTTAGGTTGTATCTCACACTGACAGTTAGATGAGTTGTTGGCAGAACACATCAACTGAAACTTACAACTCACTTAATGTTTTGGGTGATGCAAAACTGCACCCAGCATTATCTTTTCTCTGAAAATGAGAATATTGTACATTTGCAGCATTAGACACTATTGTCTTTCAGTCATACTAATTTTTCACATGAAACAGGAAAAAAACCCAGTATTTTTCAATGGTTTTGCCCCTTTACAAAGTTTTATTAAAATAGATCTTTGATCCTCTCAGAGAGATCACTTGTACATTTTTTTTTTTACAATAGATATCCAGTTTGGATTTATCTCAAATTGAAATTTTATCTAGTTAAAAAAAGGCCACTGAGAATTGTCAATGATATCATTTACTAGCCATTGAGAAACAGACTTACCAAATCAGTTTGAGTTCGTCAAGTTCATCTCAAAAGATCAATTCTTACCTAACAATGATTAAGAATGTGATGTACTGATGGGCTAGATGATGGATATTTACCTAATCAGGACAATTTAGACCATTTGTGTAACAATTTACATGAATAGATCAAAGGAATAAATTTCAACAAGATTGCCCCTTAGCGGCCTTGAACCGGGTTCCAATTAAGGCAGCCCTGGTACTCTGCCCACAATTTAGATCAACCTTTATCTTTAGTGCATGAAATGTACTTGCTACTGACATGATAGTTAGAATAATCTGTGTCTCGGGAGAGGCCCTCATCACGATGAGAATGCCTCACATACACTCGTAATGTAGCAGAAAATTACAGCATCGCTCCGAAATGATTTTGGATAACTATGAAATTAATCAAAACAAACCTTTTTGAGATCATGGATACCTTTCACCCAAAAATTTAATCCAAATAATGGGAGAATTCAACACTTTTTCTCAACATTTTTTACTCTCTTCAAATTTACATGCCATATTGACATTCGGAACTCTCTAGATTTTTCATAGTAAATGCACTGAGTTAGAGTTATTGCCCATGTTTGCTTTGCTACATTGCCAATGCACGGATCACATTCTATCATTAAACCGGGTGCGTAGGACATTTATCATTTTACCGATAGAACATTCTATCTACTGTCATGACTGTTGCTCATTTCTTACCATCAACATTATAAAGAGCACTTTAAAAAGACAAAACTAAAATGTTGTCACTTACTTAATTTACACTTTTAATGATAATGCAGCTTAAAAATAGAGGCATTTTTCTTCAATCTTGGTAAATGGAGCAACGTTCTGTACACAGGCTTGCATGGAATCAACTGAATTTAGTGTATTGATAGTTAAGAAAGCAGGCACATAGTATCAGAGGAGGCCTGCCCCCACCCCACCCTCACTTTTTTCAAAGAACAATGGAAATAGTCATTTAAAAGGTTGGTTGGTCCCCAACATTTTATTGCAGTTTGGACACACACCCCCTTTTTTTTTTAGTTTTTCTTTCAAGTATCTTGTCAATTTTTTTCTGCCCCTCCCTTTGAAAACGATGCTACGTGCAAGGGTATGGGAAAATATATCCCATGCGCATAATTCAGATATTCCTGTTGTAAAGATGAAAGTAAATTTTGAAAGAACCCTTTTGTAAGGTAAAGATTGCTCGAGACGTTGAAGCCAAATTCTTGAACTCAAACTGTTGAGTAAGAATGTTCCCAAATGAGGCGGCAATTTTTATCAATCAAGTGAAAATAAATGAGAAATAGGCGAAGTTCACTATAGTAGGATTTATGCCTTTCACTTCATTGGTAAAATTGCAGACTCCTCTGATGTTCGCGAGTCTCGGATTTGTTTTTGCAGTTTAAAAATTCTATTCATTTGCCGAAGGTATGGACATTTGAGTCGGTAGCAAATTTGTTGATGATTATTTCACTAATAAAGGAATTAATAGCAAAAAATTGGTTGATCTGTGTCACTTACCGTTTCCAACGCGATGTTAATCATGTTCTTGATACGCTATTTAAATACGCTATGCTAAAAAGCGTTTGCGAGATTTTAAATTAGGAAACTATAATAAGAACCTTTCTGTACAGATGAAAAATATCCGGAATAAGTAAATTCGAAATGTTTCTTTCTCTTTTTTTAATAAACAAAAGTATAAGTTATTTACAGTAGTGTAATAATTATAAGTATACCTGATTATCAAATTTGATTCAACATTCATCACATTTAGTATTTGTATTATACTAAGAAGTCTCGTGGGCAGCTAGCATTTGGGTTTGAATATATAGCATTTATATTCAAGCTTATATGTATATATATATATATATATATATATATATATTAGGGATGTCAACGAGTACCCGGTTAACCGGGTACTCGATCGAATGTTCGAGTATCGAATACTATATTCGCAACTCGGTTACTCGGAAGCATATATATTTTTTTCATATTTCAAAGAAAAAGTATATATTTTTTTATCCAAAACTTATAAAAAAAAAAATGCAACTTCAAAATGAATTGTCCATGTTTACCTTGTAATTAGTGTCCCCCACACCTGTTAATACCCATTATTGTCTGTGGCTGTGTACTTGTTAGTCCCCTACTTGTGAAACCGGAGGGGACTATAGGTTTCCTCTGAGTCTGTCCGTCCGTCTGTCCCACTTGGTTTTCCGCACTTTTTTCCTAAACGCTTGCAGATATTGA